ACCGGAACAGTGATGAAAACTGCATGGTGTAGGAAGTAGGTGACGTACCGTCCTACAAATGCAGAAGATTAGTTATAATTTAGTTTTTTTATCAATACTTATGGTCTTTATCAGTGACATGTTGTTATTCTATTATAAGACATCGGTTTGAACTTGACCATCACCACAAGATCTGTGTTCCATTTTACATCTCACTACGTAGGTATCGCGGTGATGTAACTCTAACAAAATGGGTTTGAAATACTTTTAGCGGCAGGTCACCTTGGGATACCTTGCTTAAATTGTATGTAAAAAAGCCTGTATAGCTATAGAATTAAAATCCAGGCCATAATGTGTTTATAAATGATCCAGTATAATGGTAATAAACATAAGTAAAACTCTACATATATCTTATTACATCACACCGCGGAAAATAAACTGTACTTAAGTATTTATGAATTCCGTGTGCGTTTTGTTTTCATTGTTACACCTTAAATAAATATGTATACTTACTCAATTTAAATCAGGTAAAGTTAGGACACGTAAGTAGGTGATAAAATAAAGAAAATTTACTGATACATGATTTAATAAATATAAAAGATATCAAAGATTTCTTTCTAATGCAATGACTAAAGACTAAGTTAAATCTGTGTATGGGATTTAGGGAGGGATAACTTATGGTTTGCAAGTTTGGCTTAAATAATGACCGTGTTATATTTTCTTGGCCTGTTCGGCTTAACCTATTTGGGTGCGGTTTTTACTAATGTATTGTATCTTGGTAGGTGTCACTAAAATTTTTTTAAACCTACAATTTTTATATATAATAATTTACTATATAAATACACTATATAAATATTCTTGCCCATGTTAATAATTTAATAATTGAACTATGGAACTCTCAGAAATATTCCATTCATCTACACACAGATCATATTTGCACAATCATTTTACCTGTCATCGAACCGCCTAATGTAGAAGTAGATAAATAGTAAGATTGTTTTATCGAAATAAGCAATAAATTGTATATAATTTTGACATTGATTGGGCTAGGATTTATCAGTCTATGATAATAGTGACACAATTTCCATCGTGTATTAAGTACATATATATATGTATGTAGGTATTCTCTACTTATATATAGTAAAAAGAAATGTATTTTAGGTATTGTCATAAATCGGTGGACTGTTTGGCTCTCGGAATGATGAAACCACGCAAATATTTTTTATGGTATAATGTATATAATATCTACGCGTGGCGCATAGTTATGAATAGAAAAAAGAAAGAATGAAAATATCTATCATATGTTACATATAAAATTGTTCTAAAATTACAAAGAAATGGAAGCATTTTACGGCAGTGGCCATCATGTATTATACATATTAAAATTAATTTTTTTCTTGACCTTCTTCAATTAAGTTTAACATTACAAATTGCCGTGTACTACATCACTGTTAAAGATCATATGGACTTATTTATTGTCAATTGACATTCACAAATTAACAGAACCTGAATGTAAAAGTATTTTGATGATTGTTTTTGCAATCCGAAGAATCGTAGGTCATGTAGCTCCCATCGTAATTTTGTATTACTTGAAGTTTATTTATTTATACAATTAAATCTTCAATTCTTATTATCTTCTAATTGTACGAAGATAATTTAATTTACAAATTTTCATTTTCTATTATACATATTAAAATGACCAAGTAATAAATATTCATGTAAGTACCTATAGTGTTTACGAACATTATGAATACTTGGCTTATCTCAATTCTTTGCATTAACAATGGACTACCTTGAAGATTAACTAATAAAACAGTTATATCGAAGTCAAAGTGAAACAATGCAATTTCAGAAATTGATTAAGTATTTATTACTTAATCAATTTCTGAAACTGCAACTATTGGTAAAAATAGAAAAAAAAATTTTTTTTCATTTATATTATTTTTTAAGTTGACATAGTTGTTTCGCAATTATGTATATATATTAAATGTACTATTATTAGCAACAAGGCAGTGCTCTAAAACGATATTATCAATACTTAACCATATATGAATTTACTTCCATAATTAAATAAAACTTACTTATACAAACCTATAGGTACAAAGGTTTGTAGTCGTTTTATATTCTACCCCTCATTTGGAAACCAACTTCAGCACAAGAAGAAAAGTTAAAAAACTTGTGTGTTTCACACAATCAAATGTTATCGTAGTTATTTATATTACTACATATTTAATACTTTGTGTGAACCCAAAATGCAAAATAACATAAGGGTAAAAAAGTAAATCCTTGAGTAACAAAATAAATCTGTCATAGTGATTAGAGCAGACCAGTCCCTACAAGCAGGTCCTGTCCACGTTTATAACGGAGTAGCTACTCGCCTCGGTTTCTCACGGGTGTACATGTTTTCCTCTTGAATCACTCTACTATGTAATCATGATGATGAGCAAACCATCTTTGTGCTCAACATATTACAGAGAGCCCAATGACACGACTCTATGATTATTGCTATTTCATTACGGAAATAATGTTATAATTGGGTGCGTTACTCATTGTTTCGTTCAGTAATGTTTTGTACATCTCTGTTTTTAATGTCTGGCCATTTTCCAATAAAGTGTTACTTTTGTTTTATGCCGTAGGAAATTTTGCTGCTAGGAAATTCTCAGCTAAATGTCCTTCCATTTGCCAACAAATGCCAATATAATACTAGTTGATAGCTATACTGGTCTAGCGGTTTACCACATAGCCTTTTATCCGAGGTTCTATTCCTCGCACCGCATGTACATTTATGTGTATCGATCGATCGATATATACAAAATGTAATTATGTATTTCTATAATTTTTTTGGACTCTGCTTAGTTTGGGATTAGATGGCCCAGTGTAAGTTCAAGTTTATTATTATTATTATTACTAGTGACCCGGTTTGTTATCGCGCGGGGACCATTATTGTAAAGATACCTATTTTGTTAAAAAGCCAAATGTAATGTATAAAAGCCACTGATAATACAATTTTGTAAAAAATATTATTTTAAATCGATTAAACATTTCTTGATTATATCTGTTAGAAACGAAAGTCAAATCTCTGTACATATATGTATTGGTTTAGATTAGCAGGTACGTGCTAATCTAGTGTTTTAAATTTTATCTTGATTGTTTATCTATACCCCAGATTTTAAAAAATAGACAGCATTGAGAACAGATACGAAATATATCAGATTTGATTTTCTTCAAGATAAATAGATTCAAATCAGATTTGATTATCTTCAAGATAAATAGTCCTTTCGTTTATTAGTCCACTCATTTAATAATCTCCTGATTTCTAATTACAGTAATATTATTTTATACAAAAAATTATTTAATAAAATAAATTGTTTAATGCCTTTAACAATTGTTCATTCATCACGAAGTCGTAGAACCATCAATTATTTCATTTGTATGTACATTTGCTCCTATTATATATCCACATAGCGTATTAGCTCTTCTAATTTACATACAAAAACATACACATATCATGCTTTCGTCAGTAACAAAGTCCATCAACGCAAACTGTCAACTCTCATGAGTACTGTTTTAGTTTTAGATTGGAGCAAATATAAGTAGGTATTTTAGAATTGTACCTATTGTATGGTGTTTGCTGTCGACCTTTACATAAGTCGATGGCTATATCGATCTACAATAACCATGTGACGTGAACGTACACGTGTCTATAAAGGGCATTTCAATATTGTTTATTGCCATTCATTTAATTTGTGGAAGCATCCTAACAATCTATTAAGGTCCCTTCTCTTCATCACGACCTTAGTGTGTAACTCAATAAACATCTATTGTTACATTTTGATATGTAAATAAACAACAAGTTTATAATGAATACAAACATTTGAAAAGGTTTCTATTTAAATATGGTTAGTTGTTTTATAATATAAATAAGTACTTGGTTATAAAAAAAATGTACTGTGTAGTTTACTCAGATGGCGATTTTCTGTACATATATGTAGATACGTAGACATTGTTTTAACTTTATGGATAACACACTTCATCATATAAGACCTTAAATGTCATTTTAATAAAGTATACTCTCTAAACCTTGGCCTATAAAATAGCAATATTTCTTTATTACGAGCATCAAATTATCATATAAATAAGTACATGGTTATCAAAAAAAAAATGTACTGTGTAGTTTACTCAGATGGTGATTTTCTGTATATATATGTACGTAGACATTGTTTTAACTATATGGATAACACACTTCATCATATAAGGCCTTAAATGTCATTTTAATAAAGTATACTCTCTAAACCTTGGCCTATAAAATAGCAATATTTCTTTATTACGAGCATCAAATTATCATATAAATATTTATAGGTACCTACAACGATTCGCATTTAGCTATGCCCGTTTAAGTTAATGGAACGATTACAAAATAACATATAAAATAGTTTCTATTGGATTGTGAATATTTAGAAAAGAATAATTCCACTCGTTTTGAAAATTTGAAGTAGAACTTTTGACTAGCTCTCACAGGTATTTTATAATGTTTGACGAAGTTTGTGGTGTGGATATAATACACTGTCTCTACTTGAGAGGCTCGCAGATTTCCGCATAACATAAACATTAGCACTTAGTCAAGAGCATATGTTTTTGTACTGTAACTGGAATGGCAAGCTGACTACCCTTTACTTATGTACACGAACAACCATTATACCCCTAGACCATTCCAGTGGTCTATATACACGTAAACACTAATTTCATTTCATATCTTACCCTTCAATCGTAGTACAGGTTACAAAGAAATCTGCTTGCCGGCTGACATAGGTCAGACAGAGGTACCTTCGCAAATAATTCTGTATAAAGTCTATATTGGTAAAAAGTTGTTGTATTGGTCTGAATAATTTTATATATCTTAATAAAAAGAAATATTTTATATGCCTTTTCAGTTGCTTGTACACAAGTCAACTTAGTTTAGTACCAGACGGCGCGGTTTGATATGTTCAGGTTTATTTATTATTTTCTGTTTTTTGCCTTAGATATTATGAACAAAACGAAGCAGAAAGCAAGGTGACTAAAGGATAAAAAATGCCGCTTCTACGCAACGCCGACATACCCACAACAAAAGTCACGGACTCCATAGCGACACGATACTCAGTCGCCGTTATTGGTTCGTGGGCCGCCGAGACAGGTGATTATTATATTATACATACATCCCTAATTTGAGTATTAAAATATATGTGTATTTTTGTATTTATGTACAAGCTCATTTGAAAAGAATGAGAGCTGAGTTTCGATGACACTGTTTGAATTTTCCTGAAATAATAAGTAATATTATTAATTAAATTTTTACTTCTCCAAAATAAAATTCAACAGGAGTACACTGTAATATTGATTGCAAAAATTATATTTTAAATTGGTGCAAATAGAGCGAACATGTGAACTGACACAAAAACACAAAATATAGTTAAATCGACTGTATTTTAGAAATTAGCGACTACCTATGTTGCAATTATTTTTTGTAATAATAGGTGCCTTATATAGCCATGCTACGATGTATCTTCATGTTAGGTTCAATAAAATTCGAAGAAGCCTTTAGTGATAAACTAAGTAACAAACTTTATGTAAATTAAAATCCCTTCTGATTTGTTTATAAAATGATGCTTCAAAAATACATAATTCATTAATAAAATATTTTTTTTGCTGGTATTATATTACTATTTCCTTCAGTGTTCGTTACTCGTATATAAATAGTTCTATTAATTAATGTCAATTGGAGACAATGTACGAACAGACGTCATATCCTTTGTAACTCATATAGACGTTAACATGCTCGTTTATTTCAATTTAATCGATTTTATATACGCGATTATAATTTATTCACATTATCCTATTTATTATTTGTAAATGTACATCGTCAATGGCTTTACAAGCTACTTCTAATTAAAAATAAAATATACGACGAATTTGAAATTTTCCTCTTTTTGAAATTATATAAAGTAAATTAAATATATTAGTATTTTATTTAGGTAGTGAGTGAAATCTGCTAATAATGGTAAACTGATGGTCCATCTAATTATAATTGGCAGGTAATAATAATAGCTTATAGATTTAAGAATTGTAGGAATATAAATAGTCTTTATTTAATCGAAAATCATTTTTTTTATTCTACGATTCATTCGGAAACCAGACTGAACAAAAACGACGAGAAACACACGTGTACTTTTAAACAAAATACAACAATTTTAAGATTTTCTGTGATTACAAACTGTCAAAATGCATAATTCATAAGTATGTATGAAATTGAATTACAGTGTACCATTGATATCACGGTACATACAAATACATGTATTTATGGCAATGTGACATCTCATAAGTTAATATTTCTAGTTACTACTTGTATTTCGATGACTACATACTATGTGTAATATTACTGGTTACGCCAAAGCGATGCGTACCTGGTTTGTCTTGTGCATTGACACCCCTCCCGGCTAATTCAATAATCAGTGATGTCATAGCTTTCGCCGCGCGCGCACGTCGCACTCATATCGCACGCATGTCTTAATAGTTGTAATCAACCTGAGTGAATACCTGAGATTCCCGTAACCGTGTGGGCCCACTGAAGAACAAGCACATTGAAGTAGGGTAAGTCATTCATATACGACCAGCCAGTTTCCTATACAACAATATAGTCCATCGAAGAAGGCTAGATCATAGCCACCGCCGCATCATTTATTGGCCTTCCGTCGCCGGATCACAATAGGAATCGCAATTTATTTATTTAAAATTTGTTTTAATTTTTTCCTATTGTGAAAGTCGAGTGAATGACTCGCATGTAATATTGAACTTATTGCGCATGTAATAGGATCTAAAATTGCATACCACGGTTGCACAAATATAACGATACATTGGTATTTTCGTTAATAAATAAGTTTATATTTATGTCGCTTATGAATTGTTCATAACTCGCAGCTCAATTCTTCAATTTCGCTTTATATCTGTTTGCGTTGTTTCGTAGCGCAGGCGGGTCAGCATTTAATTTCACATTCACCCGCATTATATCGATATTGTTCGATCGATCAGCTTCTAGAAATATTATAGTTGTCGTTATACTATTTGACGAAACAATATTACCTGTCGAATATTATGTATGATGATTGTAGTGTTTGAATGTTAAGATTGTTAGTGTTAGTTACCGTAGTCTTTACACAAGAAAGTGAGCAGGGAAAGCACACTATTTAATCTGAATAATTATTGATAAGCAGCGATTTTATTTCTGTTCGTAATAGATATTTTATTTCCTTGCAGAACTCGCTAATATAATACGCTGGTTATTGTAAATTGTTTGGGTATTTAGTTCGCATAGCTGTTTTATACAATACATGTCGGTTAAAGATCGTGCCCTACGTACCTATGATTAAGTTATACGTGGTGTATCGACACAGTGACTAACAACAACGCTTTAGACGACTCCCGCGTAAAAATAATAGTTGTGAACATAGTTATTTTATATCTTTTTAGTTATAGTTATAGATATATTATCTGATTTTCTATGACAACACTCCCTTCGATTTCGCTTTATGTATAGTTTATGTTTCGCTCGCATATTTTTTGTAGATGTATGGTCGATACCTACATTCCGCATTGTCGCACTTATGTACCTACATACTACCGCTTATGAGTAGGTATATATAAATTTATTTGTCACGCGCTTTAGTGTTTAAAACGTTATTGTGATTTTTCTCGCACCGCATATTTAAAATATTGCTTTTATGCATTATTTTATTTTTCTCGCATATAGGTATATATAGATAATAGTTGTACCTATTTTTCGCATTATTAATTAGTAGTTTTATAGCATAGTAAGCATATATTTTTTATGTATGCTAGTTTATATCGCGCATCATTTCTCGCATTTGTGTACTTATTTTCGCTACAAGTACATCTGTCTGTCTTGTAGGTATTTAATGTACTAAATACCTATTATACTTTATTATTGTTTATCGCTCGCCTTTTACGGTAGTACAGGTATAGTTGTACGTTATTACCTAGATAGTTTTATATATCGCATTTATTGGTTTTCCGTTGTTATTTTTTAAAAGTATATATATATAAATAATAATAATGGCTAACACAAACGCAAAATTAAAAATGTATGAAGCAAAACGTGCACAATATTTTTCGCAACTTCAGTCTATTTATGAATTATCTTCGAAAACTAAAATGGAGAAACATCGTAATGTTTTTATTGCAAAAGTTAGCCTGATCGATCAAATGCGCACCGAGTATGTTAAAATTGTCGATGAAATTATTCTCCTTAATTTGGAACTAAACCCTGATTATGTAGTTAATTATCAATCTCTCACCGCTTTTGACGAAATGTTTTATTCTATAAAGATGATGGCGGTCTCGTTACAACCTCAATCTTCGCGAACTCCAGCTCCCGCTTGTCATCTGCTTTACCAGACAACAAACAGGGATCAGTAAGGATCCCCAAATTGTGTTACCAGTTTCTCAGGTGATATTTTAGAATTTCCTTTCTTTACGAAACATTCAAACATAATGAATCCTTTTCGGACTCAGAACGTTTTCATTATCTTATGAGTCAATGTCAGGAAAGGCTAGAAATCTGTGTGCTGGCCAAAGTACCAAAGCCGAAAATTATCCTATATTGATGGCAAGCTTTAATCGACAAGTATCAAGATAAACGCTCTCTTGCAATCATATTTAGATAAATTATTTTCTTTAAAATCAATTAACGGTCCTTCGGCAATAAACTTAGAAAAATTTATTGATACTTTCTCGTCGACTATCGCAGCATTAAAGCAACTTAAAATTGAAAAGCTGGATGATTTTATATTTATTTATATGGGATTAAAGGCATTAGATCAGGCTACCGCGCAGTCGTATGAGTCATCAATTAGAGGAGAAGATGACATACCGCAGTTTGAAAATTTTATAAAATTTATACGTCAACACGTAAAAATATTACAACGCATGTCAACCGCACCGCCAATAAAAATGCCGCCACCATAGTTGGACCATCCCGCCGCCGCGTCCGACAGTGGTCGTGCACAGTCGCATCAAAATCATCGCTCGATCGCCACGTACATTTTTAGGTACTAATCCTACGCAACGCATTTATTGTTCCTTATGTAACGGTGATTCACATTCTCAATTATATAAATGCAAACAATTTTCAACTTTCACAATTAATGATCGATTTAATTATATTAAAACTAAATATGTGTACTAGATGTCTAAGTAGTCAACATAAATATTTCATTGTCAATCAACTTCCGCCTGTCGAAATTGTAACAATCCGAGACATCATACGTTGCTTTGTTTTAAAAATAATAATTCCGCACCTACGCAAGTATCTCAGGATACGAAAAACGCACAGACATCTTCTACGCACGGTCGCCAATTACCACCATCTTCTTCGTCGCAATTGCCTCCGCTTGCGCACACACAACCCACACAACAGACACGATTAGAACCAACTCCCGTTCCTACTGGAACCACCACTGGTGGAGACAAGGAGTCGTTATGCACGCTTTCATCGTCCATTCATGAGCAGCCGTATGTGACTGAAGTACTTGCTACTGCCAAGGTATTTGCTACTGCTCGTAATGGGAGTGATGTTGTCATTCGCTGCTTATTGGACCCCGGGTCACAAAAGCATTATATTAATCTAAGTGTTGTTTAAAATTGGGTTTAACCATGCAGCCGGACGCACATACCACCGTTAAGGGTATAGGTGGCGCCACTGAACCAGTTAAGGGTGCAGTTGATCTCTCTTTCCGATCGAGATTTAATCATGAGCAATATTATAATATTCGCGCTTTAGTTTTTAATAAAATAACAGGTAACTTACCAACATGTCAAATTGATGTTGGCGCGCTCAGTTACTTAACTAATATTCCGCTCGCAGATGCACGTGGGGAACACCATCAGTTAAAGATATACCTATTTGATTTATCAATATTCACGACCTTTTGTCTGGAGGTAAAATTATAAATTCACCTGGTACTCCAAACGCGTTGGAGACTGTTCTCGGTTATCTTATTTTAGGTGAAGCTCCCACCTTCCTACGTCTTCTTCATTCTCGTTCTGTTCCACCACTTCGTGCGAGGTTTCAGTATTAATTCGCAAATTTTGGGAGATTGAAGAAGTAGATCGCAAACCAATAACAAGTATAGACGATAAATACTGTGAAGATTTTTATACCACAACGACCACTCGTAACGAATCATTTTTCACTACGAAGTCGCTTTACCATTTGTATAGTTCTAAGTCTTTAGGGAACTGTTTCGATATCGCTAAACGCAGATTTTATCATTTGGAACGTAAATTCGCATCAAAACCGCAACTGAAATACCTTTATGATGAGGTAATTCACGAATATATAGAAAAACAATATATTTCTCCCGTAGACGTAATTGAAAATAACAGCCCTAGTTATTTTATACCGCATCACGCAGTCTTACGTGAGGACAAAGTGTCCACGAAAATAAGGCCGGTACTAGACGCAAGCGCGAAGTCTAGTACTGGATTTTCGCTTAATGATATTCTACATACAGGTCCTTCCTTACAACAGGATTTATTTATTATTCTCTTGAATATGAGATTATTCGCAGTCGCCATCTCAGCTGATGTGCGACAAATGTATTTACGAATAAAAGTTCGCCCGCAAGATCGTTGTTTTCAACGTATTGTATATAGATTTAGTCCTAATAAACCGCTCCAAGTCTTTGAATTTAATAAAGTTGCATTTGGCTTACGTTGCAGCCCGTACTTAGCGTTACGTACTGTATATATAGCTTCCGATGAAGGAAATAAAAACCCTATCGCACTGGTTACCATTGAAGATTCTATGGAACCTTATTTATATTCGCTCGCTCGCAAATTTTCGTCATGGATGAAATTACTTCGTGTAATTTGTTATATTTATAAGTTCGCTAATATTCTTCCACGCGGCGTCATATCCAGTTCCGATTTGGATTTCGCCGAACGTATGATTATTCGCGCTGTGCAGGGGTTTCATTTTAAAAACGATTTAGCAAGTTAAATAATAAAAAACCTTGTACCGCATCAATAATTAAATTAAATCCATTTTTATCAGACAATCTCTTAAGAGTTGGTGGTCGTCTGACTCATTCTGATGAAGATTTCGATTATAAACACCCTATATTACTTCCGGGCAGAGATCATATAGTTCAATTAATTGTAACACACTTTCATCGTAAAAACCTGCAAAGGCCCAGAATTGTTAATGTCAATACTACGTACTAAATATTGGATTCTCGCAGCTCGACGTATGATTCGCACGATCGTAGCTAATTGTAATATTTGTTTCCGCAATAAACCGCGTCCTACATGCCCACCGATGGGTGATCTGCCTGCACTAAGGGTGAAGGAAGTTCCTAAAGCCTTTGTCCATTGTGGCTGTGATTTCGCAGGTCCGTTTTTTGTAACCCCTTATCGCGGTCGTGGTATAACCACTCGCAAAGCATACGTTTGCTTATTCACGTGCTTAACCACTCGGGCTGTTCATATTGAGCTCGCAAGTGAATTGAGTACAGTTTGTTTTCTCGCCGCGTTAAAACGTTTTTTCGCTCGCCGCGGTCCTATTCAATGCATGTATACGGATCATGGTACTAATTTTATAGGGGCACGATCCTACCTACGTGAACTTTATTTGTTTTTATCGCAAGAATGTAATCTGTTTGGGATAAGGAATTAGCTAACAATGGAATTAAGTGGACCCTTATCCCTCCTAACGCACCGCATATGCCCATTGCCTTTGCAATAATATGTATTCTATAAGATAGGTAGTACGCATTTATAATAGGTTAATAAGTTAAGTTAAAATCCTTTGCATTTTTCTTATTTAGTAAATTCCGCATTTGATATTTTTTGTATTTTTTCTTTCTTGTTTTTTGTATTTGTCGCATTCGCAATAAGGTTCAATTATGTAGTTCATAAATAATATAGCTTTATTTTTTTGTTAATTTTACTTTGACATTATGTCAAGGCGGGGGGCATGGTTACGCCAAACGCGATGCGTACCTGGTTTGTCTTGTGCATTGACACCCCTCCCGGCTAATTCAATAATCAGTGATGTAATTTTCGCCGCGAATATCAACGTCGCACTCATATCGCAAGCATGTCTTAATAGAATTGTAATCAACCTGAGTGAATTCCTGAGATTCCCGTAACCGTGTGGGCCCACTGAAGAACAAGCACATTGAAGTAGGGTAAGTCATTCATATTCGACCAGCCAGTTTCCTATACAACAATATAGTCCATCGAAGAAGGCTAGATCATAGCCACCGCCGCACCAATTACAAATAATGTCAAGTACAAAGAGTCTATTTTTGCACCTTTAGCTATGTATAGTAGGCATCCATTGTTGTGTATATTGACATAACTAATTCTATACTTTATATTTAGCTACTTACCCGTTCGACTTAACAAAAACACGGCTTCAAATACAATCTGAAGTGGCGGCTGCTAAACATGGATATAAGGTATAATATTTACATTATTTATGATCAAGATAGGGTTATGTTATAACAACTAAATAATGACAGAATAAGAGGCAGATATGACATCTTAGTTCTCTGGAGTGGCAACGTATAGGTGTTACCGCGGGTGTCGTTTGATAAAGTGATGTCCGTAGTGTTGTTCGTAATATAGGGGACTGTTGCCGCTTGGGGGGAAGGGGATTGTTAATAATGTGGACTAATAACCGCTTTGCTACAAGTATGTACTATATCAGATCGACCTCCACGCAGCTCCTCCAGTTACCATCGTGATAAACTTATGGTGAATTTACCACGATACGCTAACTGATCTGACCTCATGTTCATCTTATCGTCCGCCACTGGTGCCCCGCCAGCGTAATCCGTTAGCGCAGGCGGGTGCAGCATTCCATTATCATCCATAAGACTGTCACCGCATATCATATATGACATCAGCTTGTTTTCCATTCCAATTACATATTTTTGTTAAAGAAATTGATAAATAAAACGTACTTGACTACAAAAAGACTTTTAATCTTAATTTAATATAGGTTTTTCAAATTCATCGAAGTTTAAGTTGTAATTTTGTAGTATTTCAATTAATTTCAACAAAATGTATTATCGACAGTCCAAAAATTAATTAATATTATTAATTAATTTCATCAATGATAATAATCGAAGCACGTTCCTAATATATTACAAATGTTTACAGTTGGAAAATCATGGGATGATAAAAACAGCAGTTAGTATCGCAAAGAATGAGGGAGTCCTTAAACTGTGGACCGGTCTGATGCCGATGTTCCAACGTCACGCAATATACTCAGGCTCCAGGATTATTATCTACGAGAAATTCCGCAATTGTTTCAAAGATGAAAACGGGAAGGTGTCCTTGGGCGTGGCTTCTTTAGGTAAGTTATGCAATATAATGTTACAAACTTCTTCGATTTAATACTAGGTGGCAAATTCAAAACGAATCAACTGTCTCACCTTATCAGGGACAATCATAAATTACGTCAAACCTTAGGGGAAGAGGGAATATCGAGGTGAGTTACAAACTCCGTTTAAAATATTCATGAAATCTAGGAGATAGGAGTAGTATTAAAGCCTGAAATGTTTACTATTGGAATGGAATTTAGCTGTGTGCAGAAGCCGGCCCGTTTCTTCATATTTTAACGGATTCAAAACAATGAAATAAGCGTACCATAATTTATAAATGGCTCCTTATGGCAGCACCGCAGATAGCCAACTATTGACGTAAAAGTGAACACAACACTTGACACGCCCATATTTAGTGGGATATATTTAATCCAATGTCCAAAGGGCAAGCCTACTGCTGACTCCGATTAATTTATTGATCTTTCCATCATTGACCTTTGAGATTCAACGCAATACTAAACAAACTATTAGACCTAGATAATTTTTACACTTTTCTTTAATTTGTTTGCTTGGTGTTCACTATTTTAATGTCACCATATATTCTGTGATATTTGAACGTCGTATTATTGAACAGGTAATGAAACAGGCTTAACATGATTGGAAGTCCTTCAGGGGGGCTGGTTGCTGGGTCCTTGGCGCAGCTGATCGCATCGCCGACGGACTTGGTGAAAGTACAGATGCAGGCTGAAGGTCGGAGGCTAATCCAGGGCAAGCCGCCACGGTTTGCAAACTGCCGACAGGCGTACGCGATGCTCTATGCGGAATCCGGGATCTTGGGCTTTTGGAGAGGTACTTTCTATTTTATAACAGCATAGTTTATTACATAATAATTATACACGTGTTTAAGCCACATCGTTATCGACTTCAACATCGAGAATCAATAATTACTAATATCTGAACAATTTATCTAATTTTCACACCTGAAAATTCCTACTTATAGTATTTGAGAATTTCTCGTAATTACCTTATTTGCATTATTACATCCTGACTTTGTGACAATGGGAGCATCTAGAAAGTATGCCCTGCCAAATTAAATAAAAAAATTGACGAAGATATTGATGAGTACCTAGACATAAAAAAATACATAGTAAATAATCATAGAGCCTCCTTTTTTGAAGTCGGATAAAAGCGAACTGTAATTCGTGGAACACAAAAAAACAGTTATTATTTTTCGTGATGCTCGAATCTTGAAATAACTAGACTCAGAAATTACTGATATTCTGATGTACCTACTCAACTGACAATGGTTTATCAGTATCTTATTATATGGATTCAAAGTTATTAATTCTAAGTGTATCACAAACAAATATTTATAATAATAATGATGTTAAATAGACAGTTTATAAAGGGATGTTCATAAGGTAGACAATAAAAATGAAACCGTATGATAATTAACCATTTAATGTTTTTTACGATATTATGTGACGCGGTTGAATAAAATCATAATTAATAAAATTCTACATATACAAGTCTTTGGGCCGAGGACCTTTAAGATCATATACATAATTATAAATTAAATAACGAACTCAATTTTTTAAATGTTAAATACGTCTGTTAAACCATTGGTTTGGACTTGGAACCCCTAAAATATAAAAATATTATACACGTAGTTAATGCACAATAAATATTTGCATTGAATATTTCCAGGAGCGGTGCCAAATGTACAACGGGCGGCCTTGGTGAATATGGGAGACTTAGCGACGTACGACTACACTAAACAATTCCTGATGAGGGAATTCGGGATGGCTGATAACGCTCTGCTGCATGCCGCCGCCGCGTTCACAGCTGGCTTCGTAGCTGCTGTCCTCGGGATGCCAGCGGATGTACTCAAAACAAGACTCATGAACCAGCCTGTGGGTCCAGACGGAAGGTAAAGTTCCTTTTATGTAACAGCTTCAGTTGTCTAGCGGTTTAGTCATCGCATCCGGTTCAAACATTTGTATTGATTACTAGGATTGTGTGTTTTACGATTGATTGATTAATCTGGTTGGTTTCTACGTATATAATGAATGTATTTATATATTTCTATCAGTTATCTAGCACATAGTCTCCGCCTCTTCAGTTGAGACTACATTGCGATGTGTGAAAGTTCAGGACAATTCCTGAGTTATTATTATTTTACAATAATTTATGACCTCCGTGATTGGCGATTGGCTTAGCTTTGCGTTAAACACGAAGAAAAGAAGAAGAACACAGATTTAGAGTATGGTTTCTAATTGGGAACTTTCCCCATACACAACAAATTAGGTTAAAGATATAGTATTTGATTTATTTATTTCACACTCAATTTTGAATAATATTTTATTATTTGCTTTAATAAAATCATTTGCATAATAATCGTAGACAACTCATTCCTATTTCTTGATAATAGTCCGCCCTCGACTCTATTAAATCTATGAGGTTCCATATTAAAGCAGATTGAATTTCACGTCTACTTCTTACTCTCCATTTGGTTAGAAGAATAGTCCATGAAGATTCTTATTCCGGCCCCCACTCCATTATTTTTTATCTACCGTCACTTAACCTGTGTGAATTTTGCTAACATTGACAACTGTGTGTATTCTACAGTAGACATTTGTACCACCCACGCGTAAACTGACACGTGATTAATAAACAAACACTAATTAATGGTTTTATAAGGTTATAAAATAAAACATGAATCGGTGACCTTTGTACGGTTAACAAGATACGTAGGTACAGAATTAATCGAGATATTCAATTGGTACTACCTACTGGAAAATTTCATCTTTATAAGTTTATGGTAAGAAATACAAAGCTAGTTGTTGTAGCTGTAGATGTAGGAAGTTTTAAAATTTATAATGAATTGTTTTCATTACAAAGAAAACATCAATCTTTTACTTTTTTTTTAGATTTCGTTTAGATACACACAGATTTCGTTGGTACTTGTTATATATTTACTTATATATTTACTTACGTATGCAGAAAGCACTTTTTAGACATAATAGTAGTAATAATCCAGGACAATTTATACAGCGCCATCTAGTCTTAAGCTAAGTAGAGCTTGTCACTAGAAAACTGATATAACAATATATCTACTTATATGTAACAATTAAAACTAAGGCAAATATATACCGAATGACAACTGTATTTTGTCAATGAATTCATGGAAGTTTTGCAAACAGCTGTAGATGCATTGGTGTTTAGATATACAACATAGCTATACCTGCTTAGTACAAGGGTATAAGATATGGACGCGACTGAGGTCAAGCTAACGGGGTCAAAGTCGAGGCTTGCTGCGCAGACTCGTTGTACTGTTGTAATACATGTCTGCTTTTCCTTTCGTTTCCAAGTGCAATTTACGTATAAATCTGTCTACATATATAACATAGTTGCAATGGAAATGAAAACATAGGGATAACAAACAATAATACCTGTGAAACGGAACTATTTCCACTAACGTTTCAGAAATAAGAATAAGTTATACGTATATGATTATAATTTTCATGAATCCATATCTAGTAATATTACAAATGCGATATTGTTTGTCTGTCCGTTTTCTTTTCATAACTAAATAGTTCAACGGAACTTAATGAGATTTGACGTTAGGATAGATTTTATTATTACATATAATAGAGATAAAGGATATCTTGTGACTGAAAAAAAAAAACCGATGAAGTCGCTGGTAACTATTTCCATAGTCAGCAAATTTATAAGATATACTTTTGTAATTTGACCTTATTATTTCGTAGCCATAATAATAATAACGGTGTTCGCGCTGATATTAATCGGCAGAATGAATTAAAACAAAAATTGGTATAAATTTGAAACATTCCTGGATTTATTTTTAACTAGCAATAAATTAATAATTATAATTAAGATAAACTAGATTTAATAAATAATATACAATATTTGACTTTGTTAACTTGTCGAATGTTCGATAATCTTGCATTATGCATAATATGGTTTCGGGTCAATAGAAAGGCGTTCCGCCGACCGTATTGCGCGCCTGGCATCGATAGTGGTGAAACCCGTATGACTCAACGAGTGACTACACTTAATATACATTCTACGTCTTGCTTTTCCTTTTTATAACTGTATTATTTCATGGGAATCAGTTCGTTTAAGGTCTCTAGAATTCTGTAGAATATAATTATTATGCCATCTTACTAATATTATGAACGCGAAAGTTTGTGAGAATGGATAGATGGATGGTTGTTTGCTACTCTTTCACGCAAAAACTATTGAACGGGTTCTGAGGAATCATAAATAAATTAAATAATAAATTTCACCCTGGTAAAACCACGGGCACAGCTAGTAACTGAATAATTTTTAAGACTAGGTATAAGGATCCCAAAGTAATATTTTCGCAACTATCTTATTAATTTTCTGCGAATATCAACGAAGTACCTATGTAATGATACTTCACAATACGAATATATTTATCACTATATGGATTTTATAGAATGACTCTAATTTGCCTATGGTATTGATCAGAGTATGATACCCACTTTTAAAACCGTAGATTTCATTATATTTCTTTGTCGCTGTCTTATATGTAAAGACGGTGGCGACCTTTAAAGTAAGTAGTTAATTTTACAATTCAGAACGAATATTTCGGCGCGGAATAAATTGTATATTGTGTAGATAAATTAAAAATTAACAATTATTAAAATTATAGCCACTAAGTTATTTTTAGCATTTAATAAAAAATAACTATCATAATTTATATCTGTGAGACTCAAAGATTTCAATTATAAAATCAGTGTAAAATTCATATTATGTATTAACATTTTACTTTTTTAAGTCTTAAGTCGATTGTAATGTAAAGTGTATATGGTTTATTTATTAGTTTTTTTTTTATTTCAGAGGAACGCTATATCGTGGAATGATCGATTGTCTGCAACAATCTGTGAAGAACGAAGGCATCTTTTCACTTTACAAAGGTTTCATACCACTGTGGATGCGGTTGGGTCCCTGGGCACTTATCAACTGGATAGTATTTGAGAACATCATGTTATCTATAGGTGGACAGACGTTTTAGGTGAAATTCTATTCATAAATAACGTTTTTATAACCTTTTCCAGAGTGGCGATTGGCCTTTATGAAATTTTACATCTGTCAGTATACAAATGCCGAACGTTTAAATTAATTATTTATAAGGCGTTGAATAGCATGTATTGGTGAAAACAGTCAATGTAAGGTTTTTTTTTGTGTATGATAATGAAATGGTGCACCCACCTGCGCTAACGGTTTACGCTGGCGGGGCACCAGTGGAGGATGATAAGATGAGCATGAGGTCAGGTCAGTTAGCCCATCGTGACAAATTCACCAAGAATTCATCACGATGGTTTCCAGGGAGAACCACGTGGAGGTCGACCTAACATGGTACATTGCTAGCAATGGGAGTTACTAGTTCCCATTGCTAACAATCCCCTTCCCCCCAGTCAATGTAGGGTTTTTTTAGGGATGATAATGGAGTGGTTCACCCGCTTGCGCTAACGGTTTGTAAAGAGCATTCTTAGAACGAGAATTGATCTGAGTGTGTAATAGTAGGATTTGTGTTTACAGCTTGTAGACAAGGAGAGGCTTGAACCGTAATCTTGTTTAATAAATGAATGGTACATGATAAAATCGATCCGAATAATCCCATACCAACATATATATATAATTGTTTTAAAATGTCTCAACATTTCACAAATAGTGGGTAAGGAGAGCACGAAGTTTTTATACCTATTTTATTTAATTTTTGTACCATTATAATGGAATTTTTACAAAATATACACACAGACATGATATTATAATATATTTAGACGTTGCAACTGCAATTAAGTACTTTGGTTGTCAATACTTGTTAGTAAATATACACAGCACTTGACTCAGATTTAATATATGTTAAAAAATGTTTACTGGACATTTTAGTGATAGAGGGAGTTTACTGTTTTAAAACATTTTCTGTAACACCATGACGAGTGGAAGATGGAGAGTTTAGCATTATCTGCTGTCATAAATTGAGGTAAATGCTTTCTCTATCTCTATTTATATTCCTCTAGTAATCATATTATTATAGGGACTAATTTATGTAGATAACTTATTCACTATAATTATAATTTTAAATGATCCGAGGTGATATTTATTTATACTTTTATGGCGAAATACTAGCAAACAATTAACTAATAAGAATTTACGTTTTTAAATGTTTTTATTTTTTAGTAAATCATTACACTGCAAGTCTCAATTGACTACGATAAGTTATATATTAAAAAAAATTGTAGTGTGTGTGCTTTGCAATAGGGATTACTTTTTCTATGAAATATCATATAATGTGATGACATCGATGCAGTGCCTATATTCCAATAAGTTACTGTATAAAGTTTGATAAATTATCTTAATTTTGTATTTCTTTTCACATTCGCTAGCTGTTCTAACAATTTAGAATAAGTATATCCTTTTATATGCAAGTACGATAATTTTTATATTTTTACATTTTCCTGCTGTTTGTAAAACACTACTACACATCACAGTACATACTTATTATCTCTTTTAATATGCTAATTAGGTCTAAACATAGGTAATCTTAGCAGAATGCCCCAAAAATACCAATTTGCATTAAGATATACTTACAAAATGGTAGTAGTCAGTAGAAAAGACACAAAAAAAACTGTGATTTGTTCCTCGTAATTATAATATAGATGTTAATATTTTTTCTGTACAGTTGTTGTTACAAATATTAGATACATAGATTGAAATGTATATTGTTGCTGTGTATTTTTTAGATTTATAATACCCTGTTTATAGTTGTATTATAAAATTATGTGAGAAATGTGATGTTGTTGACAATATATTTAATAAATTATTTATTTGTTGAATTAAACGTTGTATTTTTATGTAACGCCGAGTTTGCATATACCACTAAGGTAATATATATTAAACATACTTAGGACATGTTTATATGTTTTACCAACACTCTTACAACGTATTAAACGGTATTGTTAATGTTCGTCTTCGCGTGTTCAAGGTAATACGATTTACAAACAATTGCTGGAAACACATATTTTTTTGTTTGTAATAAAAAATATAAACAAATAAAATATTCGTGAAACGATTTCTCTACGAGTCTCATACACGACATAGACTACAAGTGACACTATGTCAATAAAAACAAGGAATAATTAATATTTAGTAAGTGCAGTCCACAAAAGACTTAACTGAGTAAGCAATAAGCCAAGACTGAAATAAAAGACTCAATTATAATATTAAATTTATTAGTAAAAAATATTATACATCTTCCACAATATTGGAGAATCATAACTTAATTATTTAAATATTTGATTATAATAGATTATAGCACTTCCGATTTCATAAAACTTGCTTTCATGCACTTACTTGTCACTACAGCGAGAAGCATGAACTATTACAGACTGTCGTTCAATATATTCTTTATAAATTGATCATCACAACATGCTACAAACGAGTGGCTTCACTTATTCTATAATACACACAGTTTAAATGCTTTGCTGAAATATGTAGTTTTAAACGAAATTAAACATGTTGCGGGGGAGGGAATACGTAATGCTTAACATTATGATGTCTTCCTTACTTAGATAGTATTCAAATATTTTACGATTAAAATTCTATCAAGTATGTTTATTTCCATAAATAGAGTAATTTTGGGTACAATACAATAACAAAAATAAATATCTACATTGGATCAACGAGCACGCAAAGTTTTATTATTAATTTCAAGTCTTGACTAACTGTTAAACGCTAACTAAGTACAATGACACGGAGTGCCACGGTTTTAGATGAAACCGTTACTGTATTAGTTGTAGTAATCAACCCTTACTACAGTCCGCGGCAAACAACTTGAACAAAAGCATATATTTGTGTAGTACGCCTTTTTTCACGTAAAATACGTATACATATTTTTACGTGAATATTGAAAGCGCGCTACGCCCAAGTTATTTGCCGGTACCTATACTGTCACATTATAATTACATTTCAATTATTACGTTAAAAATTTTTAGACAAATTTCACTTCGTCATTAATTGGTAAAACGCTAAAATGGTAACAACCCTGCATAAAATTAAAAACATCGAAAGCGAATAAGAAGCATGTTGTTATGTGAATACATCCTAATGTTTACTATCCTCGCTGTTCGTATTCATACGATGACATCAAAACAATAGTCAATATATAAAACCATTTTGTTATTTAAAACAAAATACTCTCGTCGTTACGTTGTGCGACAAAATAATCTGAAACTAAACCTAGAGAAGCTTTGAAGGACGCTACATCGTTTATATCCTACGCGAATATGGTACCAGTTTATATAGTTTTGTATATCAGTGATAAAAAATTGTCCAAATAATGTAAAATCAACTTAAATCTATTACTTAACTAACATGTAAATGGTAAATATTTAAAAATGAGCATTATAGACTAAAAGTGGATAAATAATGTTCATACAATAAAAAAAAATCACATTGATAAAAATCTATAGAGCAGGGGAATTTCAGCGAATACTGAGTTGATCCCTTTTACCTTTTATTACTTAAATATATTTCAAAAAAACTACAAATAACATTCTGGCACGTAAGCGAGGACAAAAATTGTTGTTTCGTCCCGCAAATTGTCACAATTACACAATGAGTGGTTGTTAAATTCGTACAAAGTACACAAGAAATGTATAACGGCACCGAACAGTTTTGTACTACAAACGACGTCAATATTGTGGACAAGGGCAGTCAACTCACGGACAAACAACTTAGCAGTCACAATTATTATATTATTATAGTAAATTTATTATATGTATGATCAGCGTAACCAAACATCCGTGGGATCTAAGCACCGTTGCTATAAAATGTTACATGGTTACATGAAATCATACTTTAGCCGGCTGACACATTGGTGAGATTTGAAGGCGTGATTATTGCATGTTTTAAGAAAACTATAACGCTTTCTCGTTACTGTGTGATAATATTGGGTTGGGATACATGAGAGTCAGCAAGGTGTCAGCCGGCGTCGACTCAATATATTGGGGCGGCACACAACACAATATCAGCGGCTACAAGGAGGCAAGGTTGGAGCGCGCGAGCACTATGAATGGTAGGCGGTGACGTACGATGCCGGAAACAGGCCGCGACGGTGAGCTATCTCGCCCTGGAATTAAGATTTATATTTATCACAAAAAATATATAAACATCATCCTTGTGTCCGTCAATCGTATATGCCACAGAAGATAAACGGTCATGAATAGTTAGGATTCAGAACTACTGAAGCACCTTCAGCAGCTTTATAAGTCCTGAAGGTTAGAAGTGACTCGACCCCATATAATACGGTAAAACTGTGAAACAGTAGCGACCAATTGCATTAAAATAGTTCGAAGAAAATTGAATGTTATATGTAAAAGTAGAAAGTACAACCAGTTACAATAATACAGGTGAAAGAAATTACAAACGTCTTGTATCTTGTGGTCGTTTATTGCATAGCAGGTTATATACTTGACTAATTAGAAACTTTGTGATGGTATTTGATATTAAGTTTTTTTGTGTAGTAGAAATGGCAAACAATGCAGATGGGCCTTAATAAAGTAAATTGTAACAATCGTCACGAACATCACGCCATTCTGTGAGGTCTGTGACATTACATAATGGAAGGCAGTTTCGAAGGCAGACATTATAGGTAGTCTGTCCAACAAAGGTCTAAATAATATTAACATAAGCGGTTTTATAGGCAGTCGAGGATAAGGGACTATTCATAAATTACGTCATACGAATATAATGATTTTTGACACCCTCCCCTTCTTCGTAGTCATAGCTTTTTTTTAACATATGTGTGATTCCATCCCACCTTCGTGTGACGTCATATATTTTGGAACATTATGGAAATATTTTAAGATTTTAATTAGCAGTTTCCTTTTCTTGTTTTAATACTTCAATATATTAGATTTATTTGCTTGGCTAGTGGCTAACCATGTTAAATGCGTTATTAGGACGCATTCAGTAGGAATATTTTAAACCCTTTTACTACTCACATTTCTGCAAGTCATTATATGAATTTATTATTAAAACGGCTATAAGGTTCAATCACACTATCACACATAAAGATGTTAGATTATTTCATTTTGAGTGCTCATATCTGGTGAAATGAGTACCGTTTGTCGATATCAAATGTACTTAAGTTAATATCTAAGTCTGATGTATTTATTTTGATACAGTACTAGAATATATAAAAAAATATTTAAAAACTATATTTTCCTTAATTGATCCGAAATGGCCGATTTAGAAATAAATTGTAAGTATTCAGTTCAATTACATTCTGAAATTAACAATGCCATCAAACTTGTTAACTTTGGCATTGAGGTTTAACTTAATATGTTTCTTGGAATAGAAATAAAATTTCTTTTACTATACAAATATTTTTTGTCTATTCTAAAAAATATGGTCGCTGAAGAAGCTTCACTTAGTTGCACTATTTACAGAAGTTAGTTTTAGCGCTGAGAGGGTTATTCGGTTTCCATAGACTTTATTTTAGGAAGTTTCGTTAGCTGACTCCAAAAATATGTTTAGTGTAGGTATATAGGTATGTCCGCTGTATATACATATTTTTTTTATTAAATAGGAGTTTTTTCGTACGACAAAAAAATATGACGGCTTTAATTTTTTTTTCGGACTATTCCAATGCCGTTGGCCGCAACTGGCCTTTACAGCTTCACCGGACGATAGGGGGCGAGAGCAGATGGCACTCCAAATCCGCGGAAAGACTTATGGAAAGGGTGAAGGCCAACTCCCGCCTAACGGATACGGTAAATTATTAATAACGGTGTTACTACGCGAGATAGACAGACGTGGGCTAAGGATGTATATATTGTCATACCTGCCACCAATGTTGATCAGAGCGGTCAGTGACGGTGATGACGTCACCGCGTCTAAATTCCAATTCGCCGGCTTCTTGTGGAGTGAAGTCGTACAGAGCCTGTACCAGCATCTGAAACGTATATAACATACTAATTAATTTTGTATACCTTCCAACAAATTTATAAATTTTATGTGTAAAAGTAAGGATATTTTCTACAACTCTGAACCGATTACCATGATTATGTAATCATTTAGCTAGTTTACTGACATTGACCAATTGATATTTGCTCATTCAGACATTTTAACTTAAAAACGTAAAGTTACAACAGTTATTCAAAAGAACTACAAGCAAGTTTTTTGCACATTCTTCTTATGTTGAGACAGCTTTCCGAATGAGTGGTAGATTAAAAAAATAAGCATAACTATTCAAGTGTTTAAGTTTATTTGAATAAAGAATTTTCTATTCTGATACAGATGGATGTCATAGTACCAGTAAAAGTTTGCATAAAGTCGGTGACATGAGTAACTCTACCCCTTTATTGATTACTAATCCATTTAGAAGCCATCCCATATTGTCATGTAGCGGCGTATGGAGGTCGGTGAGGGGGGAATTTTGCCAAGGATGACGTCATCTTATACATTACATTATTCTGTATAAAAAAACTACATCATCCCTAATTATACACAAAAGCTAAAAAATGCAGGGTGTTGTATTCAATCAGCGAGATATTTTGATTTGACATTAAATTTAACAGAATTAAATGTTTAATAAATCTATTATTACTAAGATTAAATGCAACAGAGATATGTGAATACAAACATGTTTACATAAAAATTACATAGTTAATTTAACGAGGTCGGAAATGATAATTATATGTAACAATTAAGACCATTATAAGTATGATATAAAAATTGCAGTAGTAAATAGATTTCTAAACTTTAAAAAATTATTGATAAGAGATAACGTTGCAAACTTTTATCATTATTTAAAATGAACTCGAAACCCAAAACTTTTGATGGAAAACGTAATACTTAGAACAGCGTTGATTCATATTATTTATGTGGAAAAGATTAAGAAAGAAAGAAATATAATCACATTATATGATTTTATTTCGATGAAAGTATCATACAAATTCAAAAAACTATACATGTAGGTAGTATGCGTAATTTCCGTCAAATCAGTTCTAAAAATTGACAAGAAACATTGCTTTAACTCTTTTAAAACGATTACAGTACAATTTAAATAATACATTTTCGTCACCAAATAAGAAAGATAAAACAATTTAATCAGCAGCCAAAACCTCCATTCCTGCAAGTTTATGAGTCAGTACATAGATACTACACAATTTATCATGACCGCGATGTTTATAAAAAATAATTTGCTAACGTATACACATAGTAGGTACCTATTAAAAATATTAGAATTACTGAATCAATATAAAACAACGTAGAAGTAATTAAAATCAAACTAGCGAACAATTTATACGACAAAACTTATGAGACCAACGAAGAAATAAGTCCTATAGATTCCAATAAGAATCAACATAATAAATTCAGTTTTGGAGTTTTGCCATTCAAGTTTATCAACAGACTAGCTGATTCCTAGAGGTTTACCAGCGCGCCACGTATTATATACATGAGTATTTTCGCCAATAAATTATTCCAAAATTCTGATTTCTAGACGTAGATAATTTTATGTAATAAATAAATGTTTACTGCGGAAAAATATATTTTTTGTAACGTGTTCAGTGTCCTATATATAAACGTGGAAGACAACGAATAACAATTATAAGAATATATATTATTATTAATTTTATAAGACTAAAGAACCTGCTTGTTTTGTTGAATAAGCTAATCAGGAACTATGGGTTCGAATTGAAAAAATCTTTTAATGTTATATAGCTGATTTATCGAGGATGGCTATATGTTATATAGCAACACGCTATGGCCAATAGGTGTAGAACATCAACGAAAACCAATACCAAAACGGGGAAAATTGTATCATAAACAAAGTAGAACACATCAGCTAGCGCATTGTATAAAAACCAGTCCGCTCCTATGATAAAATTTCCCAACTCTGACCTAGTTCGTTACATATAGAGGTACTACTACGAAAAACAAGTTAGCAAACTAAACTAATTTCTGATCGAAACTAGAATGTAACACGAACAATTTGGTTCGAGTGCGTGCCGCTACGAAGGCACTATTTGCTCTGTAACTAGAGATTATAGGAATACACTGTCCAGGTTATTTTTGTAGCTTTATCAGGGTCACATGGGCGCCACTGTTTGCACACAGACAACGTACCGTGGTTTCTTGACGTATATATTGGAATCGATTGTTTATAACGAAGTTATGTGTATTGAAGTGGCAGCTATTGTTATGATAGTCGAATCCAGTCACGTATTGCTAAGGGTTTTTTGATTTCTATTTCGGTGTTACATTAAATAATGACTCTGCTACCCATATTTTTTTTCTATTGTACAAAAATAACGTAATATATATATATATCAGTAATTTTAATACTTTACACTTCGGTGTTCCAATAAACTTGGCAATATAATAATTACTTGTCGTATTCATTGTCATATGTTGAATAAAATATTAACCAAGCTTATATCTGTTTTTAAAAATATTGTTTTAAACTTTTTTGTTATGGTTGTGTGTAGTTTCCACAATTACAAATGTGAAAACAGTCTGTCAACCGTTTCATTGAACGAATCTTAATGAAAGTTGCGTTAAGACCAACTATATCATAAGCAGGGACTTAGGTCATCTTTTATAACAATAGAAGCAGTAAAAATTGAAGGCTAGCCACCATGTCATAAATGACTCTGCCGCTATTCACGGTACGATTTATCCGTAGGCTATAAATATTTGTTGAAAAGTGTACTCAGAGTCGTAAATGTACATATGGAACTATCCCTATACTAATATTATAAAGATAAATAGCCGATTTTGTTATTTGGAAAGAAAACTCCGGAACCCCTTTACCGCATTGCTATCACACTGCTTTTTTTTTTAAATTACATGTACAGTTATTTAGGCGTTTGTTCTCGCAATTTGATACGGGTGAGAAGGCTCTAACATTTGTCAAATAATTTATTAAAAATGTGGCTCAAATATCAATTAATGGGCACAACTACATGAAAAATATTTTAATTTTTATAGCTACGTTATTGATTTATTTATTTCAGGCTAAAAGTCGCGGGCACCGTTAGTATAAAATAATAAAACATAGTTTGTGGTCACCACAATTATTATGGCAATCTGCCACGATAGCGGCGGTACACAACTCCCTTCGCCCAGTAGTCTTCCTTCATAAAGATGGACAGCATGTTGGTGGGGAACCGGGTCACATTATTGACCTAGACTATATATTATTTTATACATAAGTGGTTAGAATTGATCAGATAAATAGGATATCTTTTTAAAAACACTATGGTGTTGTTAAATACGTGTGAGTGTAAGTGTCAATTATAACAAATTAGTAGAACTCGTTAATTTATTGTTCACTAATAACTAGCGATAGTATACTAATTTATTGAATCGACTACTCGATAACATGTAACAGTTACTACATATAAGAAATTAAACAACTGAATGGAATCTATTAAATCTGATTTATTTTTGGTTTTGAATATTTGTTTATACATATAGTTAGGACTTTTTTTTTCTCTAACAATTACAAAGAAAACAAAAAACAAGTAGAATTAGTCAAATAGGTGCAGCTATTCTGAGAGATTTTGCCTTTTATTATTTGATTACTTAATTATTGTTAATAAATAACTCGACGACGGCCTCGGTGGTCTAGCGGGTTAGCACTGCCTTACTTCCGATGGTCGCGGGTTCGATTCCTCGCACGGTACAAACATCGTATTGTGCGAGTTCATTAGTATGATTCTATGTAATTATAAAAAAAATGTAAGTATTTACATCAGTTGCCTAGTATCCACAAAATAAGCTATGCTTAGCTTGGGTCTAGATGGTGTTATGTAAATTGTCCAAGTGTGTTATTGTTATTAACTTTTTATTCACGTATGGAGATTTGAAAGAAAGAAAGAAAGAAAGAAAGAAAGAAAGAAAAATATTTTATAAATTGACATAATTTATATATATGCGGCAGAGATGTGAATGAAGTTTCAGACTGCTGTTTGTTTCCGTCTACGAATCTCATATTATTATTGTACTTTGCTACACGAGACACGTGTTCAAACACCCACGTGCCGTATCGTACGACAACCATGTACTACATACGCTACACAAATCAGCCACTAGTCAATTGTGTCTAAACAATTTCAATTCCATTTTTGTTATTATTTATAGTATTAAACAATGGAAATACACATTCTATGTCAAACTTTTCTTTTTACCTAATTGGAATAATTAACAAACTGACGGCTCAACAGATTAAAATTTACTACTACTACCCTTAATCTGTTGGCTGCAGCTGGCCTATACAGCTTCTAGAGTGCAGATGGTAGGTAGGCACTTCAAACCCGCGGCAGGACGTATAGAGCGGTTGAAGGTCATCTCCTGTCTTACGGTTGCGACTTTAGTCTGAGGGCACCGTTAGGAGTTCGAACCTGGGCTCAGGTCGTCGTAATTCGACCCGGATCCCCGTTTCAATTGGACAGCGGATCCATCGGAGGGGTAACCGGGGGCGCCGTTGTATTAACCGTTGTTTATATATAAGAACAGCACCACGGCTGGAACACCTCTCATGAGTTGTCATTCCGGAGGACAACGAATTCATTTCTCCATAACCTATATTTTCACTGCCTTACCTTTGAAGCATGTCACATATTATAAAGTAAGCTGCCTGGGGTCTGCAATGGGCGAGGCAGAGGTACCCTACAAAAACAACTTTATACAAAGTTAATTTGTTACCGAGGTGGTAACAAATTAATGCCTCTTGATGGACAGACACACAATAAAGCTTTCGTGGGTCAATGTAAATTACACTAATTAAAAAGGCTAACAAGCTGACAGCACGTCTAATCGATGTCTGTAATTGTAGCTAGACATAAACACATTATGGACGTCACAGAACATACCGACCCGTCTCGGGTACGTTGCATCTGAGAAAACATGTATCAACACGCTGAAAATTCCAAAACTTCTCTGAGACGCATAAATGCACGGTAATGTTTAATATATGTATATTTTTTGTTTCTATAATCTTTGCTAATACAAACGGACATTCCATTATACAACAACTAGTGTTAATTGTGGTACGCAATATGTCATGTCATAATCTATTACTATATAAATAAAGATGAATTAGAGTGATAGAGTCAATATATTAGTAATTAATTAGGAAGTGTACTTAATTGATACCAGTCAATTGGCTGTTCAATGATAACAATGTGAACTGATTTAATGGGTTCTAAACAACTTTTAGTTGAGCATAGAATATTTTCTAGGTAAACGATCATTTAGAAGATCCTTGTATGGCGCTACTTGTTTAAACAACAGTTTTCTTTTCAATACGTTAGACATATACACTACTTAAATACTTTGTAATATTTAAAGATAATAATATGAAAAGTATCAGTTGAGTTTCTTGCTAGTTCTTCTCAAGTGAAGCAGCTAGCTTGAAAGGTAGGTAGAGTGATAAATATATGATGTGCACAAGAGGTCGAAAGCTCTAAAGATACATGTTTTTGAGTTTGAGTTTCATTTAATCTTTTTGTTTCATTTAATATTTTACGTGACGCGACGTGTACGCACCTTGGTTTCGTTGCCAGGAATGCGCTTATTGATTCATATCGCCTTAAAGCTTAAATAATTTAAAATAGGTATAATAATATACATTGTGATCTTTATTATAGATGCAGTAGTCAGACGCATTATCAACTGTCGATGTTATGGCGAACACAAAACTTGAGATATCCACACATGTGAACGAAAGATAGTGTAAGGCGAAGGTAGTCTCTTGGATTAATTCAGTTTCTCATGTGTTTTACACCGGAGGATTAGTCTAAAGATGCAATTGATACACAATTTATTTTTGTAGACAAAACCAGATTCGAGCTCACGACCTCTGTGGTCCAATCTGGGTAGTAAGTAAACCGGTATGTCTCGACGCTCTCTACACAGTTTATATTGGTGGTTTATTAATATGTAACTTTACCTCTTCAGGTACAACATCTCTCAGCTTGACGTCCTGCAGGCGGCTGACTGACGCAGTACGATGGTAGTCCACCAGCTCGTTCAGTGAGTTAAATTTCACTACCCAAAGAAAGAACTTGCTTGACGCGTCTCGGAGCACCTTGAAATGTTGGACACCATCCGGACATCTGAAACAAAAAGATTACGAATAATTTTGTAATTTACGTATAATACTTACTAATTCGTTTACACACATATCTTTAATAGGATATTAAATTAAAAAAATCATATGTAGACTAAATAAATGAAAAAAGTATTGTGCGTTCATCCATTTTGTCGTCTGATTACAAAAATTCGAAAAATGGCCGATTCTAATAATGTTTTAGATTCCTTGACTTATTTCTTTTTACCCGGTACCTATGCGTGAACCGGGTGAAAAAAAATTGAAACATTTTTCGTTTTTCTATTGTTTAAATATACATAAATAATTTGAAAATAAGTAATTCAGCGATTTATATTAAAATATTTCATTCATAAATAATTTCTTAATCATAAGACGTGAATAATTTTTAATTCAAAATGGTTGTGACTTATGGGTACGAAAAGTGATATATACGAAAATTTATAATTCCTTGAAAATTTGACATACATTTTACCTCGAACACATTAAAAGCACACATAACTATATATCATTATATCGGAGACATTGATATTTTAATTTACGTGAGAGGGAATAAATCCTCCGTACCTAAATTAATTGAACGGGGAGTGTCTATGGGAAGTTGGTTCACCGACCGATAGCATCCGTAGTCTACAAAAAAACTAAGATTAAAATTATAATTACAAAAAATCACCATACAGCGATACGTTTTACATTTATGAACAACTAGCTGTTATCCGTGACTTCGTCTGGACAAACATTCACACGTTATTTCACCAACTACGAGACTTTTGAAAATAAAATGTAGCCCATATCCATCATCGATATCCAGTCTTTATTTATATCAAATTTCGTTAAGATGCGTTCAGCCGTTTAGTCGTGAAAAGGTAAGGTAAACAGACAGACACAATTTATTATTAGTTTTTTTTTATTGATTTATACTAAAAATAATCTACAAAAGATGGAGTGCAATTAACTGGACGGCTCAAATCATACGTACTCGTATTAAGAAGATGATCACTTACCTTCCTATCAGCAAACAATGTATATTGTATTTTAAAAAAAATATATATATATACATTGTTATTTTAAATATTCTGTGGCTCACATAATATTTAAAATAACAATGTATATCCTAAGTTGGCTCAGGGATCATTGACAGTCTACAGACTGCTGTTTGGGAATCCTTGGATTAGACAATTCAGGTATTTACGCGATAAACAGTTTTTTTATTAATAATGGGTTTTGCGGTAAATGATAACAAGATCTAGGATGTAGATTGGCGTATCTTTAATTTTAAAAAGCACTATTTTATTCCACCGACATATGTTTTCCCTCGAGCGTTTTAAATAAAGTGCTCATAAAGTTTAGACATATAAATAAACTTCATGCGGTTGTGTTGTTTTAGAATTTTTAGTTTCAAATTGGGATGATTTGTTTATTTACTTCCCAATACTATTTCTCTGTTGTAATGGTTGTAAACGCTACTACTCATACCGTAAGATTAGTAACGCCTTCGTATTTGTAACATTTTATAATTTCTGCTTTGTAAATATAGTGCAGGGAATCGAATCCGCGACTATCAGAAGTATAGCAGTGTGCTAAACCGAGGCCGCCATGTTATTAATCAATCAATTATTTCAATGACGGATTTGAATTTTCTTACATTTATTTGTGTCAATATTAGCTGAATCCCTTCAAAATTACTGATCTTTTAAATATATATATAACAACTTTGAAAATATTCTTTACTAAGTTTAACGTAACTACTGACCGCCCTGTAGTCGAGTTTCGACCACAATTAATTTAACATTCAGTAAGAATATACACAAATACACTAAAGACTAATAATATTGATATATTCTCAATTTGACCACAGACTTTAACAATAAACAAAAGAGTACATGTGTGTGTGTGTGTGTTATAATATAAAGTAGTGTGTGTAGTGTTTTTTATTAATTTAATGTATTTTTAAGCATAGTTAAAAAAAGTACTGTCATTCTGCACTCCTTCTATTTAAACTATAAGTATGCGAAATCTTATACTCTTTCATCCGAGCAATTTTCGTAAAAAGGGGGACAAAGTTTTTGTTTAATGTTTTAATATATAAATATCTCAAATGAACTCAGAGAGATGATGATACAACATAGTCTCGAGAAATATATTTAATACTTATTAAAAATTCTAAAGTCGTACATGTTCATCTATTTAACAAAATAAGTAATTTTTCACGTTTAGTTTAAGCGTAACAAGTGAGTATATAAGCGTGAATGTGGCCAGCATCACTAAAACTAACGTTCTAGATAACAGACATACCCGGGTTACAATTATAAAAATTATTACTAGACGTTTTGCCGCGTCTTCACCAACTGTATTTACATAAGATAAAGATGAGAGAAATCACAAATATTCGGCTTTTATTCGGCATTCGGCCTAGTCAGCAACTGAATTTGTATTCTTTATTCGGCCTAATAAGAATAATAAATAATTAAAACGCGTAATAAACTGGATCTTGTTACCTGCAATTTGCATATTTCTTGCAACAGTAAGTATAGATTTGAGATATTAGTAGTAAGATACAAACACACGAATAGTTTCAGCGTCGTAACCTTGTCTACAAGTATAAAATCAGAAGATATCTAACGCGCATTAAAACTTAACAATTTCTGTTTGTTGTGCCGTCATGTTATGTCATGTCACGGATTCCGTTGTTGTACGTAATATATTCTTGCACTGTTTTAATAACATAATTTGACATAAACAGTCAATAAATAATGTGTGTTGAGACATGGCGTATTCACAAATTAAACAATACGTTACAAATATTCGGCGCTTCGCTCGAGAGTCTAACCGAATATTCAGTACTGAGTAATTGGCAAAATTACTATTCGTAGAATCTCTATAAAAGATAAGTCTATGTTCGTTATCGTGATATTATACAATCTATCAGCTGTTTAGTCGTACAAAGGTGACAAACAGACAGATAGAATATGGCATTTATAACATTAGTATGGATTTCTATAAAATACGTTTTGTTTGTGTTTCACCGCTATATCAAATACATTACTGTTTTTCTTTAAGTGGCATGTTTAATGAACACTCTTGGCATACCTTTTTACAGACATTTGTTTGTTTTGCTTGTATTTTTATAGCGTTTGAAACAAGTTTTAAAAGAGCTTTTTCTAAACGCTGCCGTCACTGAGTCCCAGACAAACGGACGAAGTATTTGGGTACCTACATAATATTTATATCACTATAGACCCTTATAAACATATACAATATTGAAGTTTTACTATTAATGACTATTATATTACTTTTAGCCGTAACTTCTTTAGCATAATTATGACTATTGATCGGGATGAAAGATGCAATGTTTTTAATTACAACTGCATAATTTTATTAAATAATTTCATGATAACTGCAATCAAAAGACTATCAAGCATACACAATTGTATAAGAATATAGAATGATACAAACTACCATTTTCATGATTACGAATGTTTGCATCGTACGAGACATCGAACCCGCGACCATCGGAAAGAAGCGATTTGGTAAACCATAATATATGCTATATGGTATAGCATGAGGCCGTCCATATATGCTACATAATTATGTTGCAGTTGAACGGTGAGATATAGCTTTAAAATTACAGGATATTGAGCATAACAGCCTAATTCTACGCAATGGCAAAGCTCTAGTTGTAATGACGTTGTCTGTAAAACAACCTTTTTTACTGACAAAGGTTTTTTTCAATAGATAGAGTGCTAACTATTGAAAAAAGCGCTAAATAATCCTTTGCGTAGTTTTAAAAAATTAAGCATACATAGGGACAGACAGCGACAGCGGTTTTATTTTATACTATGTAAAAATGATATGTCGCGATAGAACTTACTATCAAGTAGGCTGTCACCTTGTTTGCTTATCCAGTTACACACAAAAAAATATTGAAGTGTGTTTATAAAAAAAACGTCACGTCCCAAATTGTCCTAAATTATATTTTATTGTCATGAACAACGTTTCAGAATACGTCACGTTATATACAAATATGCAAGCTAGTATAAAATATATGAAGCATCGCTTTTTTATTATATCCTGTATAGATACATAATTGCGTAACAAATTATTATAAAGAAGTGTGAATATTTGCTTCTTTAAATTTATCTTTCAATGCGTCACCATTTTCTATAGGTACGGTAAATAGCACAAACGGCACGTTTTTGTAACAGAAATATATTTTGGATATCAGCCGCTATACTCCATTATGATAATATATTATACGACAGAACTATGAGAACAGCTAAAATAAACTGATCGTTCTATCAACATTTAGTATACGTATTATTCAATCTTCCTTGCGTACAGTAATAGTCGGGTAGCCAATTTAGTAACCAGGTGTTTAAAATAAGAAGTGTATCGTATCGAGTTTACTCTTTCAAAGTTGATACCAAGAAAAAACTTTCAACGTTTAGTAACATGAAAGACAATTTTTGATTAAATTTGTTTTTAGAATTAACATATTATTGATATTTTGGTTGTTAACCAAACCAAGTTTTGAGTATATATAATTTTTTCTAATCATATTTCCAAGTCAATCAAATTTACCTGGCTTAATTAATATAATACAGACTGGAATAAAATATATAATAGGAATAATAATTCCATATACATACTTAAACATAATATTAATAACCACGGTATTAAATAAATAAGTATATCAAATTAATTTCCTAGAACAAATAATGGTATAATTTATTATTTATCAGTCCATTGACGTCACGGCCATGATATAGCGACCGGGACCAATTATTGGGAAACTGGATAATCTTATCACCATATACACGAAAAGGGTTGACTGACAAAAATAGTTTCAGTGAGTCACGTTTAGGATATTAATTTTGACAAATAAAAAAATAAAGTACTTAAAGTGTTTCTTGAAACAAAACATAATTAATATAAATAATGAAATAATGACAAACAAGCTTACAACCACCCATATATTAGAAGGAAAGAATGTAATTGCTTATATACATGAGCAGTACCTGTGACAAACAAATGCCTAGTAATGCTCATAGTAACACGCGTTGGCATTCTATGCTAGTCCTAAGTTCATGTCTTTGTACTCTATAATTGCACTGCCATAGGCGAATTGACGATAAAACTGTTTCATTAGATTTATGTGTATATATTACACAAAATAAATTATATAAAACTTCACTAATTAAATAGAGGGGCCTCAATTTCGTTATGAATCAATATACAAATAGTTAAAACTGGTTTCAAGTTCTGTTACATCAGTCACCGTACTGCTGATTCATACAGGGAATTGTGAGATAAAAAGTCGATCAAGTATGAATAGGAAGTCTCGACTGCGAGTTTGCCACACTTGTGTTTAACTTGATAAGTGTCTAAAGAGCACGTTATAAATCGGGTCATATGTAAATTAAACTTGCATACCCAGGATTTCATATAAATAATGTAAATTGAACAAATAGCCATATATTTAGATACGAATATATTTTACTTATTCGAAATAGATTTGGAAGAAATGTGGTTTAAAAGTTCCCTAACGATGAATTTCTTCTATATTTACATATTTTAGCTCTAATTAAATTAGATTATTTCAAATATTTTACTTCAAAAACTATGACAAATTTTCTATCTATGGCTACAAGTGCAAAGGTCGACGCAGCTAATATCATTACAATGCAACAGCACATCAACTACAGACAATTTATTTTTTTGTATTTCCTATTATAAATCAACAATGAAATATATGAACTTGTTTTAGAATGTATAAATAAAATAATGAGACTTGTTTAACTAGTAAATTGAAAATGTAAATTTATATTATTTATTCGAAATAATAATTAAAACAAAAAAAATGTTTCATGATGTGACGATCCAGTTTTATCTTTTTGATTCGAAATCTTAAAATACATGTCATACTTAAAAATACAAAATGTATATTTTTATGTTTAGTTCCAAGAAATTCCTCGTGAATTTTCAATATTTTATTATATAACTAGTTCCCGCGACTTCGTCCGCGTGGATATTAATAAATTTTTCTAAAATAAAAGTAGTCTAAGTTACTCCTTATTACATCAGCTACCTGCCAAAAAAAGTTCCGTCAAAATCGGTCCAGACATTTCAGCTATTAGCCGGAACAAACAGACCGATAGACAGACAAAAATTATAAAAAAATGTTAGTTTGATATATGTACCGTATATACATTCATATGCATGTAGTAAAAAATGGTTATTGCAATATTACAAACAGACACACCAATTTTATTTATATGAATAGAGATTTTCCATCTTTATGAGCTACAAATGTATAAAACTGTTAAATTGTATATGAATCACATTACTGATTTTAATGCAGCTTTAGCATCAGCATTAAAATCATCAGTACATAGCGTAGTCACTTGTATTAAATGTAACTGATAATAATAACTAATAATTCATTGTATTGAGGGTTTAGGCTGCATGTATCCGACCCTATGTGAATGTGCTACTATCAAAATTTTCTAGAACAACTCATTACATTGGATGAAGTTTTATACTATCATACCAGAATTATCGTGTGGCGCTACCAGTGTGGAATATAGGCAGTTATTCGTGCTTATAGTTTAATAGGCAAATTAATTAAAAAAATCAGTCCAGTATTTATTTATTTTACATTCTAAACATAGAAAAAGGAAATCAATAGGGGCTCATTATAATATTAGTAAAGATACAGTAATGGTAAATATACAGAATAAAAAAGTACTTTAATATAAATTACAGTAATGTTTTCATGGAATGCCACCAACCACGTTGTACTTAATCATTGGAATATTATGACTAATATCTCGGAGACCAATTCACAACAAAACGAGTATAGCATGAGACGTGAGTCATACCGAAAGTCTCGAGTGTGAAACTCATTTTTTTATTAGGTATCAACTAATTTAAACATAAATAGAATTGTTTGCTGTCGTTGCATGACTGCCTACTTACGTTTATTATTTGTTTCTCATTGTGCGAAATAATAAGGCGCTGAAGGTAAAATTGCGTTTATTGTGTGTAAATTACGACCCAAATCAATAACTATACGTACCTATATACTTTATAAATAAGGCTACTAATAAGGTACCTATATAAATTTTTCCTAGATATTATTATGTTTATAATATTAATTGAATTCAGATCTGATAAGGTAATAAAATTGCAAGGGGTCATTCCAATTATTCTAATTGTTTAAGGAGACAATTATGTATTTTCGTAATCTAAGAAAATTAGACCGGTTGAATTCCTTGTTATTGTTGCCAAAACATAGTGACTTAGATGAATAATTAAATAAATATTTTGCTACCCTAAATAAATGCGGGTCGGTTCAATTTATTGTTTTTGTTTTGATACTTTTGTGGGTTTAGGAAACACGAATTTATTGACAATTGTTATTATTATAGGAATTGAGAAAGGGAACAAATTACACCAGTCTAAGAAATCTAACAGACATTCATTTATTTACTATAGGAAACCACTTCATGTAATAGTCAGTTGGTATAAAAAAATCATATATTTCAACATTACTTGTAAAAAGCATAAATAAAAGCATAGATTAATAACTTTATAAAGATAGAAAGAATGAAACTGTAGAAAACCGTAACATATCTACAATTTGGTATAGATTTATGGTCACACTGGAATGTAAAAAACTGTCAATACTTTTAATCAAATAGTTGGCATTGCATTTATTTTAATTTATTATTATTTTTAAAAATAATCAAGCAGTTATCATAAAACAGAGATAAAGAAACCAAATAATTTGTGAGTACTTGTGAAAATGTATCAATTATTCATATCAAACATTCATAATGCAGGAAATACCCATTTATACAACTTAATAAATATGTATATTTTTGGGCTATCTTTAAGTCATGTAAAGTTTAAAGCCCACTGAAACTACTGGACAATAATAACTACAACAGCATCTGTGGTCAAGAGGTCTACCATCAATGCTTGCTGGGATGATTCATTCCATTCTACAAACATTTATATATGATTGTTTCTTTCAGTTTGGGTGTCTTATATGTATATTATATATCCATTTTAAAAATGTATCAAAGTATTTGTATCTAGTCTAGTACCCATAATACAAGGTCTGCTTAGGATGGGACAAGGTGAAGCTGTAGGTTATAGTTACTATTATTATAATAATTCACATAATAATAATGTCAAATAAATTTATAACATATTCATTATGAAAATAATACTTCTAGAGAAAGGTAATTAATTGTTTACAACATAAAGGAAACATATATAATAATGAATAATAGGATTCATATTGGAAATACTTGACAAAGAATAATTATTATAAAACCAAGTCTAAGAAAGCTATATAAATAACTAACAACTTGTTGAGTCTCTGGCTCAAAAATATATTAATGATGATCATCATCATCATGATGTGGATTTAAAATAATGTCTTTTAAATGTTAAATAATTAAACAAATTTTTCAATACTTGTTTTCATAGATTATGTTATATGCACTTGACTGACAGAACTTATAATATCTTTTCATAATATTAATGAATATGAATATAAGACAAAATTACTTACTTTACTGATAATGAGAAGTCACCCGGGCTAGATTCACTAATCCGTATCAAAAATCCACCTTCTGGTTTATTCGTTAACACTTTCTCTGCATCGGCCCTTGTGATCCGTCCGAAATACCAACTGAAATTAATACTTGCATTTTATTGTTTGCACACACAAATAACATAATAACATTTAAGAGCAAGTTTAAAGTTTTTTTATGAATGAGACATTATGGTCTATCAATCTATAAATGAAATGACTCCCATTTCCCACCCTTAAAACAAATGTTTTTGAGGAAATTTATACACCAACGAGTAAGAGTATGAAGTCTATCTAAGACATCATTTTATACAATATCTGGCACATACAAAAATACTATTCAGCAGCTTTATCTATCTTTTATTTAAAAATAAAAATCATTAATTTGGTTCAATATATGACTTAAGAATATGAACACTACTACTGACTATCTGTCTGTCTGTCCAGATTGGATAAGTTATTTTAATCAATGTGATCTCACATCTCACAAACTCTAGAATATGTATATACTTCATCATTCCAAAACTAAGAACACAAACACAATAGTACTCCATAGAGAGTTTTTAATATTAGAATATGTTTATTTTATACTAACATATACACACACACACTCAGATGTGTACTAGGTATGTGAAAGCTACATGACAAGTGGTATGGGTTTTTAAGTATAGTACTTACTTGTGACTTTTCATTTGAATGTAGTTGCTAGGTATTAGCCCTTCTCTGCCATCTAATTCAGCCCTGTACCAATTCATATCGTCCTCCATATTAAGTATCTGTAAAACCAAATTCTCTAGAATAAATCTGTCAGATTATGTTACGAAATCATTTAAATATCCAGAAAACATTAGAGTAACTCACTTTAAGCACTTGATTCTTTTTAAAACTGAGCTCATCATCAGCAGATGCTGTGAAATCGTGTTTTGCTATAGCCTCCATGATCAAATTAGGCACTTCACTGAAATGTCACCGAATACCAAAATAACTCACAAAGTATACAATCTAATATTACTAATTCCGGTCAGGGTAATAAAGTAATCATAATGCATGTATTTTGTTAGAGATTTATCAAAAATTACAACGTTCTAAAGGAAATTATGAAAGAAATTCTTTCAATACACAGATCAGTCACATCACCATTTCACTTCACAGTTCATAAAAAAAATTAAATTCGGTGTTGCAATACAACATAAATAAAAACAACTGTTTACCTCGCTGCTGATTATCAGAATTAAAACTTAATTCTTGTAGGTTTGTATTACTTCAACGTTAGATTAATAAAAAAGATTTCACCTTGCATATATTTTTCTAATCGAACATGGACCACTGTGGATAGAATTTTTAGAATTTTTTTTTACTTAGAGCGAAATCATTGTAATTTCACCGTCATATTTGAAATTAACTAGAATTAAAATAATGAACAAAAAACTAGTTTGGAGTGTCTGCACGAGAGGAGAGGTTTAGCAGGTGTTGGCCTTTACTCGCTATTTAAGTCAATCGATAGATTTGGAGTGCTTCAACAATCGCCCTTAACCGATGAAACTGTATGTCAACTTCGAGTAATAGTGTTAGAATAGTTCGCGACATTTTAATCAATTTAAATTATAGTTTTTTGCTAATATGATAAGTTTTAAGATAGATAATTATGATAACAAATAAAGGAAATTTGATGCAATAAATAATAAATAAACAATCGTTTATTATTCTATTCAATATTAAAGAGAAATAATATGATTCTTCATAGAAGATTTTGTTCTACTATAACGGCCGTTTAATTTATATACTGGCAAACTGTGCAAAAGGGAGAGTATCTCATAACGAATTGTCTCATGAAGGAAATAGTTTGATGACTTTTGTACACACTATAAAATAGACTCTAAACTATAGGCTCATTAAGTTTAAATTACTCAACATTTATGCAAAGTAAACGTAATAGTTAGACAGCTAACAAATCAGAGAAAAAAATATCAGTATAGAGCAGTTTTTCAAACTGCCAAAACTTGACAATGTCACAGCCAACTGACAATGACAACTGACTTTTAAGATATCTGTATTATGACAGCTTAAGCAAAAGCCTTTTATAATTTTTTTCCCCCAGTGGCATTACACGCGTAAGTATATTTTCTTTAAATCTATTTTAATTATAATAATCCAATATGCTTTAAAGCTACAATTATGAATTTTTAAACATTTATACTGTGTGCTATTTATGAAAGTCAATATTTACGATATTTATTAAATTATTATTATTATAATATAACTTGCACCGGTTGGTTTCATTCCAGGTTTAGTCGTAACTCAAATAAACGCAACGATGTCGGGAGGATTAGATATATTGACCCTCAATGAGGAGGATGTCACTAAAATGCTGGCAGCAACCACTCATCTGGGTTCTGAAAATGTCAACTTCCAGGTAAGATAGAAGAAAACATACTAACTAACTAACCTATTCATTTATTAACTCAAGTATTTAATGATGAGATCAGAATCCGTTCCAAATAATCTGATTACATGACGATCTATTCTCCCAACTGATTTAGAATGTGGTTCATATTGTATATTTATTCAGTGTCAATGTGACTGAGATTTATTCCTATTTTAGATGGAGACATATGTGTACAAACGGCGTACAGACGGTACCCACGTAATCAATCTACGTCGTACATGGGAGAAACTTGTATTGGCTGCTCGTGCTGTAGTTGCCATTGAGAACCCAGCTGATGTATTCGTTATCTCGTCACGTCCGTTTGGTCAGCGTGCTGTCCTCAAGTTTGCAGCACATACCGGTGCAACACCTATTGCTGGACGATTCACTCCCGGTGCTTTCACTAACCAGGTAAAGACATTCTTTAACTCTGTTAAGCTTAGAAAGTTGATAATATTGTATACTTTGCTTATACAAGCTATATCAATTAGTGTGGCACACATTAATTCTTTTCAGATGGATATAACTTAAAAGATATTTGTACCTTCAGTCTTAAACAGCTAGGCACAATTCAAATGTACAAAATATCTTATAAATGAAGATTCAGCAGTAGATATTACTTGCGAAAAGTCTAAACCAATTCACACCCTATGTACTACTAATTAATAAACAATATCACACAATTTAAAAAGTTATATTATTTATCACATCTATGAATTTTATATTTTTATAAGAACACTCATAATAAAGGTCACACTGTGTCATAGTACTTGACCTATCATAAAGGTTCTGACTACCAAATACAACATAATTCTAATATTGATTATTTTATGATGATATAATTAACTAAGGAACCACTGATTGCATTAAATGCAAATTGATTAAAAATAATCTGATTAATAATTTAGCATAATGTTTTATTCCTATGTACTAGCAAGGAGAAACTCAACGTGTTATTTTATTTTCAGATTCAAGCAGCTTTCCGAGAACCCCGTCTCCTTATTGTGTTGGACCCTGCTCAGGACCACCAGCCCATCACTGAGGCATCCTATGTAAACATTCCAGTTATTGCCTTCTGCAACACTGATTCTCCACTGCGATTTGTGGATATTGCTATCCCATGCAATACTAAGGTAATTAATATTTCTTATTGAACTATACATATGCAAGTCTGGTGATATGCATAAAAAATAATATAAATAATCATAAAAATTAATGGTTTAAAATATATATTTAGTCAATATAAATATTTTTAGGTAATTGTTTACTACTTCAACTATTCCTGCAACAAATATTTAGTCACTATTTAATATTCATCTATTTGTCTGCTTCTATTATATGCTGTAGAATACAAGATCATTCTTAGATCCCTGATTCTACTTTTGCACTCGTTTGTTCTAATGTATTCATGCACATTAGAATAAATGAGTGCAAAAGAATCAGGAAGCTCCCCAAATAATCAGTATTCGGCATATGGCCAAATATACTATTCTTTGCAAGGCTACTATCACATACCCATGATTTATTTAAATACTTATATATACCTAGTTGTACATACTTTATTTATAGCTTTCTTACTATGTAGTATCATAAGTGAATTTTATATTTAGATATTTATTTTTATCTTTTACATTGCAGTCATCCCACTCTATTGGTCTGATGTGGTGGTTACTTGCACGCGAGGTGCTGAGGCTGCGTGGTGTCCTGCCGCGTGACCAACGTTGGGATGTTGTTGTTGATCTCTTCTTCTACAGAGACCCTGAAGAGAGTGAGAAGGAAGAACAACAGGCTAAGGAACAGGTATGTTTTTATTATCTCTGTAACTGTAATGTTTAATTTTTATTTTTACACATTAAAATTTTTAATATAGAACTGTATAAGAAATTTTGCTCATAGTAAAATTATAAAGGTTGAAATTAAATGAAGGCTTAAAGGGATTAAGGGAATATAAGAGTATACTTGAAAATTTACAGATAGAATTTTACATGCCTTTGTATAACAAAGTAATTTCTAAGAACAGTTTTCATAGATATTATAAGAAAGGGAATTGAAAGATTTTGGCTTCCATAGAATATTTTTAGATTGTAAGTTGAAAGGAAATTGTAATACCAATATTTTTTTATGTAACTATGACAAATACTTAACTAAAATTTTATTGTATTTTTGTAATTGCGTTTATCCAATTTTATTATTGGTACAAAAATCTTTACTTTTTTATAGGCTGTTGTGGCCCCTAAACCGGAAGTGCCTGCTCCTGTTCATGAGGATTGGAATGAGCCTGTTGAGGCAGTCACCTCATGGGCCGAAGATTCTGCACCACCAGCACCCGCACCTGCTTTCGGTGCCCCTCCAGCTCAGGAAGATTGGGCCGCTCAGGTAATGTTTTTATTAGAAATTAATAAAATTTGCTCCATTTTTCATATTGCAATAAATGGAGTAAAAGAAACATGAATGATCACTAATATTTAGGATAAACTTATAGATTAGCACAGATAGATCTATGTAAAAAATAGGTTGATAAATGCTTACGATGTGTATGGAAACAATTTATGGACATATTTAAAAATAAAGAGTCTAAAATAGATATAAACAAACTCTTCTATACATGCATCTTTTTACCTGTTCTTACTTATGGTTGTCAAACCGTTAAAAAAAACTACAGGTTCTTGAGAATAACATGGAACGAAGTATAATGGGTGTAAGATTAGGTACAATTTGAGGATAGAAAAGAATAAACAATGTATTGCTGCAGCTGCAAATGCTGAGGAGAATTTAGACACACGACCTAATACCGTATGCAGCAATAAAGTAATACCCAAATTTAAAACTGTTCCAGACCCACAATAAGGGGGTAAGATAAATGCAGGAAAGCAATAATGTATTGGTAAACAAAAGATTTAAAAAGGAGATGAGAAAGACGATGTAAAAGATAAATAGGTGATATGAAATCCGTGGCAGGTGGTACTTGGACGAGAAGTACTAATAATAGAGACGACATATATAAAAGATAAATTATGGAAAAAAACAGCAATTTTTAGTAACATAGTGTATTGGTTCCAGGTTTATGTATCATGTTTTTGTAAATGTGTGGTATTGTGATTGTTATATATATATATTTTTATTTTCAGGTACAAGATGAGTGGGGAACTACGGCGCCACCGCCACCTGCTGCAGCACCTTCGTGGGGAGGTTCCGCTCAAGACTGGACCGCGTCTTAAATGTTATTTGTATTGAATAATACAGTCTAAACTCTATAATGTTGTTTTTATTTACTAATCTATAAAATTAGAAAATGGACTGGAAATTGTAATATACTTTTTGTAGCTTTTGACTTGCTACATTACTGTGATAATTCGTTTAACATGCAAAAACAGAGAAATGATTTGGTTTCACAATAGTGTAGGTGTACCGAGTTCCTACGCAAATGAAATTGAACCGTATTATGTACATGTGAAACCATGTGGTTTCGGTGGTTTCGGGTGTAATTCTTATTGGATTGGTCTGTTGAAACTTGCCTTAGAAAGGAATATTTTTCTGTATCAGAGAGTTATTACAGCAGCAAAAGAAACGAAATAGTTTGAAGTAGAATATGGAACTCGATTACCTTTTTTGTGCGCACCACATATAACCTGGATTTTTAACATATATTATCTATGCTACAATTTTTTGAGCACTGCATGACATATTTGCCAGTAACTTGAAGGTTTTATCAACATATTCAAGCCCACTTCAATTAAAACGATACAATTTTTGTCTGAAACTGCTAACTTAGAAGTATTACAGGTTATTACATATTTAAATTTTAGTTCAATTCACGTAAATGTTGTGCAAACTCTCATAAAAGTAGTTGCTTTGTGGAAGGGACGAAATAAACTAATTGCTAGAAATATTTATCAAACATAGTATTTTTATTAAGAACATTACAATATCTTATGTTTAATACTGTATACATGTATTCTATATAGGCAGGTATAGGTTGGGTTCCCATGGTTTGAGAGCACGCGAAATACAAGGCGTTTCAATTGAACACTTTTGCTTGTTTGATAATACTGTTTAGCTGCTCCATTCCCGTAGTATTGTCCGTGAATTGCATTTATCCACGTGCCATTTTCTAAGATACCCTGAAACGGTAACATTTTTTTGATAGCATGTACAAAATAACGTACTTATTTGTGCTTTTTTTACACAAATTTGTCTTTTTGAAGAAATAATATATATATATAATAATATCAGTATTCAAATTACAAAGTTGTGAGTTGTTACAACTTTTCTATTAAATTATTTACCTACCAATCTCACCTACTTCCGTCACTGTCTCTGAAAGTAGGTACTAACGCCGATCTCTGTCTACTTTATTCTAAAAGAATGACGGAGAGATGGCAACGGTCTTCATTATCCATAAAGTGGGTCCTTCGACTTTAAATCGGTTATCCTTGGTGAGAATCAAGGAGGACTGCTAAACAGGTTTACTTTCTTCATTATTTAAGTAGGTACAAAGTAGATAACAAGATTATTATAAAAACACATTTTTTTCTATTTGGTGTAATACACTGAATTACACACCCAAGTGATCGCGAGTTCAAATCTGGCTGACTTGGTAATTTATATTTCTAACTGAAAAGTAATCCAAAAGGCGGCGTTAAAGATACTTATATATGTATCCAATGTACCTAAATAAACTGGCTTTAAAAAAACAAATTCTATCGAGTTTCTTCCCAGTTCTCCTCATTGGTATCTGTACCTACACTGAACTGGACGGTAAGGAAAACTAGTAATATAAAAAACTTGACGTTCATAATTGGCTAAAACGTCCTACATGAAAAATGATTTTTGATTTGATTACTGTGTGATTATTTTGATTTGATAAAAATTGTAATTCCTGATTAAACTATGTAGGTAGGTAGGTAATACTACGAATGTAGGTAGGTACTTACATATAGTACGAATTCTTTGGGTGCGCTTAGAGCGGTGTCTGGTTGTAAGTGTTCAATGCTTATACATTGGATGACTTGCTGCTCAGTCAATTCGATGACGATCTCACCATAAGAACCCCTTTCAAGAATACAAATAACCATTTAATTCTTATTGACGGATTCAGTAGTATAGCGATTTGGCACACCGCCTTATGGTCGAGAATTCGATTCTTGCATGATACAGACATTTGATTTCATGAGTGTGGTTGTTTATATTGATATGGGTGATTTCTATACACATATATAATATGCTTGAACTTGGCTTTGACACGCTCCCGCGTGTCTAGATTATGTATGTATAATTTTTAACCAAACCAAATTATTTAAGTATGTAAGCACAACGTTGCTTAGCATGCTTAGTTTAAACTCTTTAGACTAGGCATCATCTTAAAACCACATCATATCAATCTATTACCGTTTCACAACTGATAAAGCATCCTCTTTCAATATTAGCATACTGTAATCACGCTGACCAAGCGGCTTGGAATAGGGTTTTATTTCTATTATATTAGTCAATTCTTGTGACATTCGGGGTTGTCGAGAGTGGAGACAATGTACCACATTACAACTTATATAGAAATTCATACTAATATTATAAAAGAGAAAGTGTATCCGTATGTCCATACAGTAGTATGTACATATATTTATTATTTTTATGGATGAATATGGTATGCGTCTGCATGCGTTACCGGACATATTTATATAGATTGCGCTGGCGGGGCACCAGAGGAGAATGACAATATGATGATAAAGTCAGGTCAGGTCAATTCAATATGAACTAACTAGGATAGTTTTCAGAGGGCAACGTATGGAGGTCAACCTAACATGAGCCATATCTATCACCTATTATACTAACTTTTTTCTAATACATACTTACCTTTCCACGATTAAACGAGTTAATGAATTGCGTGTTAGAGAGACTCTGTTCTGTCTAAAAAAGTAGACAAAGATCTTAGCTAGTAGGTACCTATCTTATAAATATACATAGACAGTATCGTGGGTTCCTACTAGTGATAATTAAAAATAAGTATTAGAGCATTGATATCCTTACATGAAAGGCCAACAGTCGGCCGGCGTAGGTTTCCGTAAAGCCAGTACAATGTCGGGTGGCGGCGCGGCTCGCCACAGTGGTACAACCCCCCATAGTGCTAAGCGGCCACCCCATTCTACAGTATCCGTACCCTTTGTCACCGACGCATCTGCTATCCGGCTTTTGTACAGAGCTTCTCTGTTACCTGCAAATCAGATAAGGAAGCTAACAATATGTTTAACATGAATAAGATTTCTTATTGCTAGATAAGTAGTTTTCTTTCTATTGTTAGATAATAGTCTTTCTACATAATCTAACCCAAAAAAGGCCAAGAAAAAAGATTCCTCGTTATAGTTTCAAAAATGACTATTTTCTATACAAATTTTGATCCCCTATTTTTTACCCCCTTAAGGGTAACACATTTACAAACTTAGTCATAATAATTTATATTTAATGAACAGCCTAAAAATAAGTTTCAAGATTCTAGTTTTAAAAATGACGATATTTCCATATAACCCATTATCTCCTCTTTCTACCCTTTACGACCCTTTATTCCGATTAAAAAGTAGCCTATGTCTTTTCTAGACTATCTGTGTATCAAATTTCATTTAAATCGGTTCAGTAGTTTTGGCGTGAAAGCGAGACAGACAGACAGACAGAGTTACTTTCGCATTTATAATATTAGTAAGGATGTATAACATAGTATAGTATACGCCTTCGGTGGTCTAGCGGTTTACACCACACCGTTTTTCTTCTGATGATCGCGGGTTTGATTACGCGCACGGTACAAAAGTTTATATTTCATGAATATGATTGTTTGTATCGGCCTGGGTGTTTTTTATGTATATAGCAAAAAAGTATATCAGTTATCTAGTAGCCATAACAGACGCTTAACTTAACTTAGGTATAGATGGTGTTGTGTGAAGTCCAGATATATATAGCCTTACATTTAGGCTAAATCATAATGACATCCGAGGGCGATTAAAAAACTTTATTATTAAAAGGGACATTTTTCAACTCAAGTAACTGTCTAGGGGAGGGAGGGAGGTCTAAGGCAATCTTCTTCTCCTTTTCACGACTAAAAAGCTGAATGGATTTTAATAAAATTTGGAGTGAAGATAGTGTATACAAATAAATAAAATCGTAATTAATCTCAAATTTCCAACTTTTCACTAAACACATATGAAAGATTTGTCTGTTTGTTCTTGCTTATCTCTGAAGCGGTTGCACCGTTAATATTATAAGGAGTAACTTAAGCTACTTTCATTTTAGATTTTTTTTTATTTAAAGAAGTAACAAATTCCGGACGAATTTGCACGTTAGTTTGAAATAAATTTTAATTAAAGATTTTTATTGCTGGTAATATAATTATAGCGCATTAAACAGCACTGTATAACAGTACTGGAGTGAATGAACGAAAATCTAGAGAGTATATTGAATAACAATTTAAATCGTACCAGCTTGCGCAGCATATGGCACCATCGCCTTCCGAACTCGGAGTGTGCGGCTGAAAATGAACTGAAGTTAAGTAAAAAAAATAATACCGTGTACTTCATATTATTTAGTAGGCTTTCTACTAAATAAAATGAAGTAAGTATTATTTTTTAATGTAAATGGAATGGAAAACAAGCTGTCTAACATGATGATAAGAAATAACTGTCGCTATATACCTACATAAACAGAACTACAGACATGACAATGTCATGTCACACCCCTGATACCACTTATGCGTTGTAATTCCAGTAATTTAATATTAGTATCTAGTTATCTAACAGGAATTAATATGTTATTTGAGTAGGCAATGTATAGGTACATTAGCCAATCTATTAATAGAAAGCAATTTACAAATTATGTAAAAATAGCTCGTTCTCATTATCTCAGTTATAATTTATACATTATAACAATATGATTAAGCCTTCCTCTAGAATCACTCTATCTGTAAAAAAAACCGCTACAAAACACGTTGCGAAGTTTTAAAGATTTAAGCATACATAGGGACGGACAGATAGCGACAGCGAATTTGTTTTATACTATGTAATGACTAACAAATAATCGCGACTACGCGCTTGTTAATTCTGAAGATATAATCTTCGTTTAAATCCGTTCAGTCGTTAAGTCATGTATAAGGTATAAATATATTTTAGCTTTATAACAAGAAATATCTGAGTTAGTCTTGTTATTTATTTAAATAAATATCGTCTATAGGTCCCTAAGTGTCCTCTATTGCAGTTTCATTGTGATGTTAATGATTTCCTTAATATAGACACGAATATCTACTCGTACATACTTAGACTTAATAATACCTATATTTTTATTTATTGTTGGTAATGTCAGATAAGCTATTGACACGCTTCGCCGAAAAATTGAAGCCGGTTCGGCGCATGGTTGGATCAATTCAGTATTTAATTTTATTATTGAAGTCTTCTCAAACATTTAAATACCTTAATAGATATGTTTATATATAATTTTACATATTCTAGAAAATAACTGAGATATACATTGTTGTTTTATACATAATAATAATGATTATTAGTAATTTTTTAAAATATTTTCCGTTATATTAGGTAAATACGAATACTTACACCAGCAGAATTCAGCTGATGATGCTGATATCAGTTACTTACTTACGTATTTTTTTAAATATTAATGGATACTAAGTAGAACTATAAATGCCAACGACGAATATAAATATATTAATAATGATTAATAATTCGTATTTAATGAAGTGTTTTATTGATTAATATAAAGTAGGTTACAGAGGTAATATTTGTAAAAGTGAATATAAATTTATTAATATTTTAATATAAATAATTTAGTTAAAAGGAGGCTATTTATTTATATTCGACCTTCCTTCTTTACTAGGAATCTGTTGTTGTTTTTAAGAATTAAATTTTAATGAAAGACAGACTCTATAGTATCTAATTTGAACCATAATTTTAAGATGCCTTATTAATTACATAGTTATCCATATCAGGCAAAGCACATGTCAAAGTAATAATTATACAATAACAATGTTACAATGATATAAACTGAAGCTGGCACAGCGCATAGTGGGCATAATTAATTTTGCAAACTAACGTACCTACGGTTCAATTTGCAATGTAAGTTAGATTTTTTATAACTATGTAATCAATATAATAAATATGCTCTTGACTACAGAAATGCATGAAATAGAAGTTGCGTCATTACCTTATTTTTCAATTGCCAAGGTAGAGCATTTGGTCTTATTTCAATATACACAGTTGGTTTGTTTTTATTTCAATATACACAAATAGTGTTGCATTTATTTTCAGTCAAGTTTTGTGCAAACATAGATACTATGTATATGTATACTTTGTATTTATCTATATGGGTGTATATACCTGTTTGTAGTAGACATTTAGTTTAATTATTTAATTTATTCACTAGTAAGTTTATACAAGAAATTCTGGGGGCTGCCCCCGAATTTTTTTATAAACTTACGAATAGTATACGTGATAATTGTAGGTAAAGTCACGCGGATATCCATGGATTTATCCGTTCTTAGCAATAGCCTTTATCTATCAAACAGAACAGACTTATTTATCTGATCTGTGTACATCAGATAAATAAGTTGTTCTGTTTGAATCACGATAGATGAAAGAGATTTATAATTAAATTTAATAGCGGTTGTCGGTTTAAAGCAGATAAATTTAATTAGATATTATATATATAAATATATATATATAATCTATGCTCTATTATAGACGATTTATGGCGTAATGGTACGTGAACAGCTTTTTTCGTGGCTGTATAAACCGATACGAGAACGGCATGGCCTACCACAGGCCCGACAATGGAAACTATTATATTCAGATATTAGTACATCAACAAAACCAAACGTTGGTATTTTTTGTGATGTGTGAGTTTTATTCTAGAAACTGTTGCATGTTTACAAATACATATTTCGCGCGATCGCGTGCCAGTTAATTTTGACAAGTTTGCACATGCAATGTGGTGTAATGTTCTGAACAATATCACAAAAGGCACCATGTACTTTATTAACGACTATTATGTACCAATGCTTTATATATGAAACACCTTAAATTTTAGTGAGTATCAAGGAAAGTCTAGACTGATATTTATTGTATATACAATATATATAACCTGTATACCTGTATATGTATAACATGTAACCTTATATTATATATGTATACTGATAGATAACTTATATATTTGTTAGACTTTACGGTGTTATAAACGCCGATATAAAACCACCAACACAAATATCTCTGCTACGTTTGTCTCAAATAAAATGAGGTAACTGTTTATATGTCCTAATTGTACATACAAACAAGTAAAATGTTTTCATGTTAAGTGTTGTATTTACCACGGCATCGGCAAGAGGGTATATTTTTTAAAGTAATTCTATTTCTTCTTTGTGCTGTATTCTGACAGGAGCTATATATAACTATATGGCTATATCTATAACAAAAATTAATTTCAATTAAACTAAAATCGAAATCAAGGGAACCCTTGAAAGACTTTGTTACGTGTTGACTTAATCCGGCATTGGTCATTGACTACTCTACTGAAACAACTATCTCAAATATATTAAAATATTAAATAAGTAAGCCTTTTTTACCTTAGAGTTTTTTGGGCTCGAATTAGTTCCGCAGCCAAATATCTCATCTGCCTGCAACATTTCTCATTGACTAAAATGGAGTCCTCCGTCGCCACTGAATAAATTATAAGTTACGTTACTCGCGTCCTGCGCTGTAGCGCTTACCGCAGCTATTTTTTTATATTTGCCTTCTTAAAACGCCGTATCGTTATAATTTATAGCATGAACCACTTACATGGCATATTTATGACGATTCAAACTCTCCTTCTTTAATTATAGCAAGTAGTTATATTATTTTCACTACAATAATTCTTAAGAGTTCTTGACAGTTATATTTGTCAGTGAGAATATTTAGTTTTTAATTAACTTAAGAAAATAATATTCAGATCACGAATTTATTTCGTAATTAGATAGGATGCTTTTTATTGAATATATTTATTCAGTATGTAGATGTAAATCAGTATTACAAACTATATTTATTATTACAGTGAATAAAGAGACCTATGTGGAGAATCTACGACTATATTACTTAAGTGGTCCGTTTACCATCTGGCATGCTTAATTATAAATATTTTATAGATATTTACCTAGATACGTAAACTTGTCATTCGATATTAATTTGGGTAACCAATTGATTTGTGGAAACTTGTTATTCATACATAGAGATACTGAAATGGAAGAAATAATAATTTTATAGGTAAAGATACAAAGTAACAAAAACATTCGTAGAAAAATTACATGTAAAAATATGAGTCCCTACTTATACAGTACCTAAAATTCTGTTTTATTCCATTTAAAAATACATTCTGTACAAATTTAAGAGTCAATAAACTTGGACAATGTATTACAGTCCAAGTTTATACATTCATTGACAATTTGATTAGCATTTAGGTTTTCTGCATTTGGCCTTACAGAAAGACAGTTATTCACAGGGTTTAAGAGCTCTTGAACTATGTATTACAGGTACAATACACGTATTGTACCTGGACTACAACTACGTAGTGCAATTCGAGTACATGTGAGACTGTATTGATATAAGTCAATGGATGTAGATGATTTTAGGACTGCTACTACAAGGAACTAATATGAAAGACGTAGCTAATAATTATGTATAAACGTGCCATTTTTTATTAATGATTTAGTAATTATTGAGAAAATGATAATAGTTATTATGAACTCAAAACTATTTATTTAGTACTTATAAATATATAGTGAAATTCGTTATTTTGAACTGTTATGGAAACCGTTTTTATGCATGCCTTGCCTCAAACTATTGTATCACTAGTTCCATCCGTGAATTACGAGTATCATGTTCATCATATTGTGTTCAGTACAAATATTAAAATTGCCATGAGGTGATAAAAAGCAAACCAAGCATGTTTCTATTTTAGGTTTAAAAAAATAGTCATACAAACCTATTGTACAAAAACAGATAAACGCTAACAAAAGCGTTATAAGAGTTTTCCCGTTACTTTTGTGGTTAATCCTTTGTTTGCAGCGTGCTTTCTTTCTTTTGCAACCGCACTTCAAGTTTTTACTCTTATCTTCATAAAGATACTCCCATATGTTCTCCCGGAAAGGATACGAAGATCGCATTTCCCAGTATGGAGACGCAACTTTCCGTGGTTTCCTTTCTGTAACTTTCCCTGTTAATGCCAACATGAAGTTGCCAGAGAAATGTAGGTAATTATTTTGTGTTTTAGTAGGTATATTATTATTATTATAAATGCACTTCGGATTTAATTTAATAAAATAAAAATCAAGCATTAAAACTATATGGAGTAACGTTCAGTATATTTCTTTCAGTTCAGTAGAGTATTACATTATCTTAAGGCCTTTTAAGGCTTTAAGGTTTTACAAAAGGCCTAACGTTAGAATTCGTCAGATAAAAAAATGTATAAATTTACAATGATGCTGACGGTTAAAATAAAACTAATTATTAATGATAGGTAATGAACACAGGTTTATTTTTTTTATAAAATGAGGTAGACTAAAAAGTCCACTACGTGTGTCAGTATGAGCTCAACTATTACAGTCATTAAGATGATTGCTTTGTAAGCTGTGCAGTGTTGGTTGAAGATTCCATTGCTGTGAAATAACAGGATAAGAGGCATGACATCTTATTTACGCATTAACATCAGGTGAGCTTGTATTTGTCATTCATCAGGTGAGCTTGTTTGTACATTACATAAAAATCATTTACAAGTATAACCTTTTTTATCATTACAGTTATGGTTAAAGATATTAATTTTCAAGTATACTAAGTAATAGACATATTGAAATAGTATAAATTTGAAAGTTTGTATATTTCTTATGTAGGTAAACATGAATATGAATAACTAATGAATCCATTGGATTAAAATGTACTGCGACATTTAAAACAAACCACTGTAAGACAACAGTCTTATTTATAAGTCAGTCTTATTTATATTATATTCATCTAAAACTTAGTCTCTATAAATAAATAGGTTCTCCAAACCGAATAAATTAATTTTTCATCGTTTTAACAAAAATCAGAAAAAAGTCAGTTGTAAATTCGGTTGGGCAGGCAATCAAATTAATCCGTATTAAGGTTACAGCTTATTGACTGTCGTGGCGTCCTGGGAACCGTTTGATTTCCCGGAGTACGTAAAACCCTATATGTGTGGCCTTATTGCCTTAATACGCATATTTATTGTAATGTTTTTATAGCCAAAATTAGACATAAATACAATTCCGACAATATCTTATTAATATAGAAGTTTTCTTGTTTCTGGTAGGCTCTAGTAATAGTTTGGTATTTCAATTGATTTTATATTGACAAGGTAGATTTATTTGTATTTGTTTATGTAAATGGATACAAATAATCATCAAATTGTGTTTTTGGGATCAGGTAAATTCGGAGAGATCTGTACCTATTAAGATATTATTATATTTTATATATTTATAAGATTGATACATAAATTATCTGTATTCACATATCATCTGTACACATTATCAACACTAGAGATTATATCTAGCATCTGATGGAGCCGGAAAAGAGCTGTCGAATTTTCTCAACTGAACAAGAGAGATTCGTGTTTGGACTTGTTGCACTCGTTTGACAACTTTATTATCATAGCACTATAAGTGCCTATTAGTTGCAAGATTACATAATGATAGTATTATGTTGTTTGTCATAAAGTAATTATGATAGTTTTTATATATTACTAATAATGTGAGCGTGAGGTAGGGTGAGAGCATAGTTTTGTAATAATAATAATTACAAAATTTAAAATGGAAAAATGACAAATACTTTGTAGTTAAGAACTTCATTAATCACGTCACCTTTCATACAAATATCGCATTACAATCGGTCATTCTTTTAGTAGCCACAGATAGGCACACATATAAACAGACACGTGAAATGTAATACACCCACTTTCAGCGTCGGAGGTTATGAAAATGTTCGTCTATTTTGCATCCAATATAGTTTTCAAATAGGTAAGTAAGTTGAAAGTAATGTATTCAAGTTAGTTGTTGATTATTTTAGTTTGTGAATCTAATACAAACGAGAATGGGTCGCGACCTGAATGCCCGTGGTTCATTAAGTCATTAATTCGATGGTTACTACTGATATTTGTGTAAACTGCAAAATTATTCACGGTATGGCAGGTGGTAACACGCTCCAATTGCATCATGCAAACACTGTCGATGCAGATTCTGTATTTGGGTTATATTATACGAATAATAAAGAAAAAACGTTTATAACCTCGTCAGCATAGACAATTTAATGATTCGTTATAAATATTTACTGCCACGGCCAGAATTAAATATATTATGAAATGTTTTTATACTTATTGCGAAACACTTAAATTTATGACCATGGGCTTGGATTTTGTCTGAACGTTTATTATGTGTATTATGACTATATTATGAATTTAAAAAAAAATATAAAACATTAACATTATGCCTCAAATGTTAAGCTACTCATATGGCAATGTGTGGATAACAGAGTTAATTTTACTTAAATATTTCTTTTATAGCTGTGCCATAGTATATAGTGCCATATAGTACTAGCCATGCTTAGTATGATATTAGATGACGTTGTGTGAGTTATCTAGGTTTATGTATATTTCTATACTTACTATATAATACCGCCCGATTAATAACCTTAGCAACAAAAACCTAGGTTACAAACATCAAAGTTGCGTGTTTGATTCATATTTATATATAAGTAGAAGTTTTTAATCAATTTAATCTTGTATTATTCATAAATTAAATTGAATAAATTTCAGCTTGTTCATTCTAGAATGAGATTAAATTATTTTCATTCAACATATTTGAGAACAGACAAGTAAATTAATGATTCGTAATAAAACAAGAGAAGATTGTATCACATATCAATAATTAATAAATAATGTAATTGAAACTGAATTCCCAATGTTTGCTTGGGGCTTATATTGTTTGCTTTTATTCTGTTATTATGCTACAAAATATATAAATGTTATTGTATTATTTTATAGTAGTAATAACATACCTACTTTATCTCATATCGACATAAAATTTTGGAATAATGAAAGTCTTGCTCTACCAGAATCTGTACAATACAAATGTACAATTTTAAAATATATGTTCAACTATTAATTACAGTGTTCAACACCAAATATTGTTTTAATATTTCCACAATTGATTTTAATTTCCTCATAAACTTAATTTAGCGCAGCACAGTTTCCAAGAAGTGGTCGCATTTAAATTACAATATGTAATTATTAATTGAGAACGTTGAACTAAAACACCGTGTTTCGCATGATTGACTAAATAATTTATTTATTATTCTCTGTTAAAATATGGTACCTGTATAATTATTCGGCGAATTCAGTACAGTTGAGGCATATTCCTTAGGATCTTTCTTCAACTCGACATTCACGTATGGACCAATTTAGGAAACGATTCATTATTTTGGATAGGGCTGCGTCGTGATAATAAAGTAAAATCCCTTTTTGCCACTTATTTATATTAATATTTTTTTATTTATCTCTACCGTCTTTCGATTGGCTAGAAGAATTTTCGACTAGTTAAAAGAAGAGCTAACCACCTCAAAGTACATCTTCTTTATATAAAATTCTCGTGTCACAATGTTAGTTACCGTACTCCTCTGAAACGGCTTGACCGATTTTTATGAAATTTTATATGCATATTCAGTAGGTTTGAGAATCGGCTACTATCTATTTTCATACTCCCAAGGGATAAGGGTTGTCCATTATTTTTTTATTTTTTGGCAAAATATTTTATTTATATTTTTTTATTCTGTCATTAAAAATACAATCAACCCTAAATTTTCATCCTTCTATCACTAACCCCTATTTTTTATAGCGTTATCAATTTATATGGCAACACAACCTTTGCCGGGACAGCCAGTTTATTTATAATAATAGATATCATATATATAGAACGTCTATATTTCATGTGTATATTTTGTAAATGAGCTCCTAGATAACTAACAGTATACACGATAGTTTTCCAAGTAATCGTTTACAATGGGACAAGTTTTACTAGACAAGGGAATCTAAAAAAAATATAAGTGGATTCTAAAGATCTTTGAATTCTATGTATATGTATACTAAGCTTAGGAACTGCAAGTTTAAATTAATATCAATAGTATTAAGGTTATTTTACGACTGTTATTGGGAAATAAGTGAAGTTTATATTGTGATACTTGTAACTATATATTAAAAGATATCGATTTATATTAATAAAAAGGCAAAAAATGGCTTAATACCGCCAAACAACTTGTAACTATTCACGCCAGTGGTTCTTTAAAGTTTTTATGAATGAAGTTTTGCTAACTTCGGCAATTGACTCGTGATATTCGAATTTTCACAAACTAGAGACCTGCCCACTGGGTAATGGGGTGTAATGGAAATACACCAGGTGCCAGTTTATGAAACTTATGTTGTGACAAAGGCCAACTTTCATAATGCCATAATGTTATTAACTAAGTAAATAGATGGGAAAACGCAGAATTAAGGAAAAAAAAATAAAAAGACGTTTGTGTAATTTAGGGATTTGAAATAAATTATTTTTTAATTTGTGTTCAGTGGTTCTCGCTATGTTTTTTCTTATTAATGTGAGAGTAAATATTTAACAAGTTTAGATACTCGATCCTAGTGATCGTGAATATACTCGTCTATTTCATTTAAGATATTTGCTTAAACGTAAGGCATAGACTATTTTTTTTATGATTATTCTATTTAGTAAGAAGCAGATGATGCTTGTAATTTTTTTCTAGTATTATTACCCTAGCAATAGCTATTATTACTATTAATGTTTATCAATATAAAATTTAGCATGAAGTAATAAATTAGACTGAATATTTTATTTAAGTGGTTTATTTAAAAAATGACACATTAAAAGATATAAGACGCCGCAAGTATTCGAATCGTATTTACAATCGTATATAACCACTAGATAAAATGTTCTTATATGTTAATAACAAGTGTATTGCAAATAAAAAAAATGTGTACTTTTAGTGTGTTGTACAAGTATCTAGGTATACTGGCAGTCCTTCTCTCATGCATTGTAGGTACAATTTAAAGGTATTTATAATTAAAACATACAAGCATAATTATAACTACATACTGGATAAAGTCTAAACACTAACCTTTAAGGTTAGTGTTTAGACCGAAGGTAGATTGTAAAAAGTCGTCTCCGTAGATACCTTAGGTAGGTATGTCAGTTTTACTTATTTCAGCCGTCAAGTAGCTTGCTTTGTAAGCTGTGTTTCGGTTGTTTGGTGTAGATTAGGTAGTGAAATTACAGAATAAGAGAGATGACATCTTAGGCCTCTAGAATTGCAATGCGGGTGTCACATAATAACGTAATGCTTATATGTGATATTGCTGATCATGTATAGATATAGGACGAGTAAGCACTTAGCATAAAGGTGGACTATCAGGCCGTCGTTATTTGCCATTACATTTGAAAAAAGTAGTAAGAATATATGGCTTTTTCGTCCTTTACGATCACGATAATTTTGCTCGCTAATTATTCTCTCTTACTATCCCGTTTATGTACCCATATTTCCTCAAGCTATGCACTAGTATTTTTAATGTAATTAGTAGATAGGTAGATAAGTTAGGCTAGTAATAAGTTTAGGGATGTGGACGTTCAATTAATTTTAAACTTCTACCTGCAATGATATCCCTAAAACTAGAAATAATTAAAAGCAGAAAGTATTCGTTGGTACCTATTAATTTTACGAAAAAACCTTTATAACCTTTTCTTACTCACCTGATGAGCACCATGGTGGAATTTTCTTGTTTTGAGATATATCACTGCTACTGAAACTCTCAGACGCTTTTCTATATGCACTTCTTGTTAACATTACCATTGAGATGAAACTTTATAGTATATTTACGTCATAAAATAAACAATAACAATAAATTATATTGTAATATGTATTAATAAACCAACCAACTAGATTATAAACGTAATTAAATGTGTACAATATCAACAAATGTAGTGTTTTTTTCAACCACAGACTAATTCATTTCCCGCTCATTTTATTTCTTATACATACTTGCGCTCTAAGTATTAGCACAGATAAGATAATATTACATAACATCATTAACGATTATTTTTAATTAGAAACGAACAATTATATTATGGATACGTAAAAATCAATAGCATTAATATATAGAAGGGTAATTGAAATACATATTATTACAAGTTGTGAAAATATATTTTTTTTTGTTTTTTTCCTTTGGGTATGGCAAAGGGAACTGTGCTTAAACAGCTATGTCTGTTTTGGTTTGTGGTTTTCATATTCTTAATTTTCATAGTTCATTTTATATTTATATAAATATGATATCACTAAGACTGATATATATAATAGTGTCAAGTCCAATAATACAGATCATCGTTGTATATATGCACCAAAATGAAAGATCAAATATATTACTGATCTGTGGTTTTGATTCCAAATTTGAATACAAAAATTATGTGTCTTTCTCAATAAAAAAAATATTGTAAGTGGTATGTTTGCAACATTTTCGAACTGTATTGTACTATAATAACCTGCAATTGACCGATTTGTTTAAAAGTATCTGTTATAAAGTACTAATACTACTTAGCCCCGGATGAATGTTACTTTTCAGTGCTTTTCAATTTCTCCTTTTTGTGATCGATGTACTACGTTAGTTTAAATGGCTTTTCAATAAAAATATGTCAGTTTAATTTATTTATAACAAATTATTAGTAACTATATAAATTATGTAGCCTACACGGACTAAATTACAAGAGATGGAGAATACCGAAAACTATAATTTTAGGATCCAATAGTTACAATTACGAAAATAAATTTCGTAATTGTAACTATTGAATATCTTTCCTGTTGTGTTTTACCTACTGTATAATTTCTCACTGCTAATTGGCCCATCGTTGTAGGTACATAATAATATCTTGCTCTAGAAAATTGAACGACATCATGACCCGGGTACCGTTGGCTGAATTCAAATTAGACAGAGGTAATTATTTGTCCTCGCGTTTTATATCTTGAAATCAAAATTTCATGGGCGAAGTTATAAACGAAATGAGATATCTGAAGCGGAACAGTATAGTCATGATCGGGGTTTTAGCAGTTGTTTTTTTTGTTTTGTTTTTCCGTGCTCATGGACAAGGATTGAGCACTGAATCTCCATCGCATACGCCGGCTATTCCATTCATGGATTTATTTACTGGTGCGTCAAGTTACTACTCGGAACCTATACGTAAAACATATTCTGACCACGATTATTCCATATCATGTCCAAAATCTGATACTCTGAGTAGCTTCGCGAATTTATTGAGCAGTGCTGCTAAAATTATGATATCGGCTGCAATTATTGTCTTTTTGAAAGTTATGGTTGGAAAATTAATGTTGTTCCCACTTACTTTTGTTATATTAGGCAAATTAGGTTTGAAACTATTCTTTTTGTGGCCGATGATATCCAAGATGATGAAGCATTTTAAAAAGAAAAAGAAGAAAGGACATAAAGCAAGAATGATCACAGACTGTTCACAAAGGATTGCTTGTGTTATTGAAAGATCTTCAAAAGAATGGGGCAGTAATTTAGGAGCCGCCGTTACGTTTTTTTTAATAGATGATGTGGATAAAGACAGTTCTTATGCTAAAGCTATGTTGCATATTTTAGCTGGTGATAACGTAGCGGAGTGCATGTCAGTGGATTGTAATTCTGGCATTGATATAAGTTGACAATGATATTTTTGTAATATAAAACAAAATTAAATAATATTACATTTTTTGTATACTACTTAAGTACAAAATTAGTTATGTAAACATTTACATAAATTTACTACGAATTTGCTTACTCGTTAGGAGAACATTTATGATGAAATGTTAATAATATTTAAAACTGCAAAGTTGCATTGTTGTAATTCGATAAATGTGGTAATCAGATACTGCATTTTGTCAGAGACTTTGTCAGTAACATCATCTACCATGGGGTCGATGTACGTTTTAAGTGCAATTTTTTTATTAATTCAATGTAACAATATTTTGGTACGATGTGATACATTTATCCCAGATAAGACTTACCATGTACCAGTAAAGGGAGTAAATAGACCGACCAGACAATTTGTGGATAATTCTCAGTTCCCTGCTGTACCTGGAAATTTTATGGGAGCTCCTCGCCAGCCTGTTTTTCACACTAATACAGTGGAAAGTCAGCCCAAGTCACCGATATTGGAAGAACAAAAGCAGGCACCTAATAATATGACACTTTCGGAATTGGTAAACGCATTCAATGATTTAAGTGAACACGAAGAGCAACCAGAACAGGTTAGGTCTGTTCCAAGAGATTACGGGTATAGCCCATATGGATATCGACCCCAGGTGTATGATTATCCATCACGACCTAATTATGGACAGTGGTCCCCACCAGCTTATTCGTCTTATCATGAACCCTCATACTATCCTCCGCCACCATCGCCATTGGCGCCACCACACCATTCATTATCGAAGATTTCTCTGCTGAAACCAAGTCTTGATTTAGTGAAGCCAGTGACGACAAAAGTTGCGAGCAAAGTAAGCGGTTTAATTGGGCTAGTCTTAGCTTTGCTCACAGGATCATCTCCTAACGACTTAGAACTGAAAGGCTTTAAGGATATTGTAATAAATGGTATCGTTAAGCCATTATTACTTGCAAAAGGAGGAATTAAGACGTTGATCAGTAAGTTAACAATACCAGTGATATCACTATTGTTAATAAATTTGGAGGTTCTGATAACAGTATGGTGGCTATGGGAGGACTGCCCAGAGCCTGCTCATGCTCCACCACCCTATTCTTACCCAAAACCTATCTATAACTACAATACGTATTAATAGTTAGATTTAACTTAAGTGCCTTGTACAATATAAAGATATGTCCCAGTTTTTAATTTAGACTTTCTGTATTGCTTTTATAAAAATGTTGTTAGACTGTTATTGTTGTATTTATTTAATTTTATATTAAATGACTCTGAAATATATATATTTTTTATTTACTAACCATAGTGAGTTTATATGTCAACCAGTAGAATTTATTTATCGATCAAAATTGTAATTGTAATTTATTTTAAATTGCATATTTAACGAAGCTTTAGTAAATAATTACGCTATAAATAAACTTATTAAATCTGTATTTAGCAATCTATTATTTTTTATATATATAAAAATCTGACACGAATCGTGATGAAATAGGCAAAAAGAATAACATTTATGTGTAGGTGTTAAACAAATAATTTAATTCTACAGTATATTGTGGTAAAAATATATAGCAAGTAAGATAAAACAGTTAAATTACTTACTACCTACTGCCAATCTAACAAAATAAACGTTTATGTAAGAGACCAATTAACCTTTAATAGTCCTGATAAAGGACGCGTGTAATGTTAGGCAATTTACCGAATCGCGCAGCAATCTATTGAGCCATGAGTCTGTGGTATTGGCCAAGTCCTTCGATTTTAATTTACTTGTCACTGTTGATTTGATATTGTAGTTCATAATATACATATATTGCATTATTGTATAGTAATAGTTTTAGTTTTTAATTAAGTAAATCAGAATAAATGACTGTGGACAATTAACACAGCGCTATCTAGTCCTACGATAAGTAGAGCTTATGTTATGGGTAATAGACAATTGATATAAATACTTAGATATTTTTTTGTAAATACATACATAATATACATAGAAAACGCCCAGATCGATTCAAAAAAATTATATTCATTAATACAAATGTTTGTACGGTGCGTGTAACCGAACCCGTGACCATCGGAAGTAAAGCGTTGTGCTAAATCGCTAAATTACCGAGGCCGTCAAATTGTAAAGATGATAAATAATAAGAGATATAGAAAAGTATAGTATGTGCGACAGATATAGTTAACATATAGTCGGTAACACTGTTGTCATATTCTTATGGTTTACGGATTCTAAGAGAAAAAACCTATCACATTTTCTTAAAGTATAAACCGTTTTTAAATAACGAATAATATTAAATTAAAGTTACATAAATGAAAGTATTATTGAAAAAAGTTGTTTCTTTTATTCTTACAGTCTAAAAGTTGAATTGAGTTTCACTGGTAGTTTGGAGAGCATAGTAATTCTTGATTTGATCAAGTGGCGTGTATAACTAAGGGTTGTCTAGATTTTTTTAGGGTTAAAAAGTATTTTATTTCTTATTAAATATAGTTTAACAGGTTTTAATACGAATAATTTGTATGGTAATAGTAAATAAAGGCACTTACCTTTCTCGACGTTTCGACTAGGTTGCACTAGCCGGGGTCACGAGCTGACTGACCTTTAATTGCCATAAAATTATTCGTGTTAAGACTGGTTAATAATTTAAATATCAAATATATCTTTCTTATAAAGAAGGACCCCATGCCCTGCAGTGGGACGTTAATGAGTTGTTGTAATGAAATATTCTGCTAACGGAACTGGAATTACTTTAAATAGAAATAAAGCAATAAGAGTATCTGTTAGAATTCTTAGCACGTATACACAAATATATACACGTAGATGTGTTACGGTAGAATTCACACGTTAGAAAGATGTCTCGAATAACTCGTAGAGCTCGCAGGGGTAGACAACCTTTGTTTCTATTATTCGTACTTTTACTTATTGGTGTTTATTTCAATACCTAGGAGAAATTTAAGTAAATGTCTGCCAACGAGTAATAATACAAATAAGTAAAAGTAAACCTTTTTCTGCTCTATTTATATTCAGACTCTATCTTGTACGTAGGAAATAGAAATGTTACTTTTTTTATCATCTTAAATTTCTTTTTTTTTCTTTTTTTCGTACATAGAAATACATTCATATTTGGCACTTTCTCTTTTTTAGAATCGATATATCGAATATATTTTTTAGAATCGAACATATGATTTTTCGTACATAGAAATACATTCATATTTGGCACTTTCTATTTTTTAGAATCGATTACAATAAGTACATAGGGTGTAATTTCTGCGGTGTCGTTTTGATTAGAGCCTATGAGAGACAAATAGACTTTTTTTTACGTTGGAAATAAAAGTTTTATTTAATTGTTTCGATATGTCGAAAGTATTCGGTTTTTGTCATATACATGCACTGTTATTGGGGATAGTACCTGTTCAAGACATAGTATCATATTAAATTATTTCTTTTAGTGATAAAACCACATTTTAAAACAAAACTTTTAGCTAAGTTTTAATTTATATTATTATATAATATAATTATGTACAATCTCATTTAAAAAGAGTAGAGTTTCTTGTCTGTTCTTCTTGGTTCAAATTACATTCCATACTGATAGTAGATTTACATATAATAAGGGTCTAATAGACCTACCTACATGTAGGATTAAATTATATGACTTCTTTTTTATTATTTTCATTGTGCTCTTTAGAATAACTCAATCTTTTTCTAAAATCTATACTTAGCTTTAACTAAGTAGGTATGTAATATTTAATTGCATTAATATAATTTTCATATCTTCATGTGACATTTTCGAATCGCAGATGTGTCTGTAATAACCGCCCAAGTCTTTGTTATAGACGAGGCTTTCGTTGAAATCAGTTAATTGGGTAGGTATCTAATTGGCACTCGGTCGTCTGGCATCCTTTGGAAATTCCATTTGTATCGTAATTGGCCCGCTGCTATCTTGTTTAAATGAAATTACATTGCAAAAATATTCGCAGGCGATATACAATTTTATAAATATGTTTGTACAATACATTTTTGTATTTTTTCTGAATTCAATATATTTTGACTTTTAATAATTGGCTTTACTTTTGAATGTATTAATTGGTAATTAAATTACCTAATAAAGAAACATTTATTTATGAATGATACTGCAACAGTATATCCGCCTGCACTAATGGTGTACGATGACGTGGCGCCAATGGAAATTGACAATTGAGAAGTTGATGATAGAATAAGCATTCAGTATAGTCCACTGTAGTAAAATCGCTAGGAATCAACAATACAATTTACACGATGTTTTCCAGGGAGGGGTGACCACGTGGAAGTTGAGCTGACATAGTATCAATGGGGCACGCATTACTAACAACCCCCCAAACAAAAATAAAATTTAGAATACAAAAATAATACAACATTTAGGGAATATGAATATAAAAACAATGGAATATTCTGCATTATTATACAGATCACTTTTCTAAGTCTCAGGATTAAAGTAATAATAGGTATTTGTTACAAAATAATGCTTTAAGATAATTTAGTAATAATACTTAGCCACGTTGAGGCTAATCATGATCCAGTGAACTACGCAAATAGCCGGGCTGACCACTGAACCGGTGTAGGTAAGGTAGGTACAGCGAAAGCATGAACCAATCACAATTATTAACGCACGAATTATATACAACGGTTGTCAACCACTGTTTTTGGGAACGTCAATGATCGAGAACCTGATATATTTGAGGCTAAAATATTTTATGCCTGTGCAGTTATTAACATTACGAAAATCAATTGCTGTTTAGAGTCTAACTATAAATATCACACATACAACTAAATTTTTTGAAAAACAGTACTTAATAATCCATCTTACTGGGGGGAAGGGGATTGTTAGTAATGAGGACTAATAACCCCATTGCTGGCAATGTACCATGGCAGATTGACCTCCAAGTGGTTTCCATATTTCCATTTCCCCTGGAAACCATCGTTATAAAAGAATTATTCTTAAGTAATGATAAAAATGTTATGTGTAAAAAGTCTGCCTGTCTGTTAGCTTATCACGACTAAAGAAATGAAAATACAACCGGAATGGTCTCTATGAAATTTAACATTTAAGTAGAGTCCGTTGTAGTAAAATCCCCAGTAAAACATTACCTATGTGGTAATATTTTGCCTCAAAAATGCAGACGGAGTCTGAAGATAACAGCTAGCATCACTTTAATTTGGTTATCTGCCATGCTTAACTTTATTGAATTTTGATGATCCTTTTTGCAGTAAGTAGGATCCAAATTTTATTTGAAATAAGATACTGCAGGAGTAAAATAGTGTATAGTAGTCACGTTCTAATGATTTATTATGCACAATATAGAACATTTTTTCATATAACTTCTTAAGTAGTTTTAGCTTTATTTTGAGTCCAATTATATAGGCACGGAAGTAGACTTAGTATAAAGACGTTTGTGAGTATTTTTCTGTTACCATTCTCAGCAGCAGCTTGCTGTATAAGCTCTGTTTCGGGTAAAAGGTGGGATGTGCATATGAAAATATGCAGTACGTAGGACAACCTCCAGAATGGGAACGCATGCGTGTCTTCAGATGGGCCGTTAGCTTATTTGCTATTCCAGTTATATAAAACAAGAAAAAATAAATTCAAGTAAAAATCAAATACTTATATTATTAATGAAATTAACAGACGCATTTTATTACAGAAAATAAAATGGCATTATCCTTGATCCATCGGCGGTGTATGAAAAATATACGTAAAACATAAGGTTACCATGGTTTATCTCGTCTTTTTCCCTTCTGATTTGAAGTTCAAAGGAATTGTAAGCAAGGATTTTATCACTATTATCTGAGTAAGCTCTTTGAATGAATAAATTCGAAGTGCTGTCAGTAAACAGACAAAGTCATTTCCAAATATAATAGTAGGTACCTACATCAGAGTCGTGTTTATGTACTTTATAATTTTTAACAGAATGGTATAAGATTATATTTTCATATTTTATTCATAGGGTAAGTATACCACGAAAACGTTATATTTTATACTTACACCAACTTATGTAGAACCGAAAGGTTATAAGTTTGAATCTGGTTGAAACTAAATAAATTTGAGAGTCAATTTATAATTTTGACTGACTCTCCTCTCTTAGATGGAAACATATTTATATAACTTCTTTTACGTCTGGCTCCTTCTGTTACATCTGACTGTAATAAATAGGTTATATTCTTAGAAAATGTTTGAGGACATCGAGTGATGTACTCGTAAGGAATTCTTAAACGCTAGATTTAGAACGTAAATGGTTATGTAAAGTGCGGTGTTAGGGTTCTGACTTCTAAAAATCATTGGTTGACCTTTAAGCCTTTGTAGACCTTAAAAAGCAATCTCTGTCATTAACAAATATCCCTAAGTGTTTTTAAATCTAAACCTCTTTAACATTTGTTCCCCTCAGTTAATTTTTTTGTCAGTAGAGTAGACTATGATTGATATTTTGTACTCTTTAACACACAGAGATTTAAAAACAATATCTACGTAGTAATTTCGTAGATGACTCATTCCATATTTTACAATAGCCAAAAGCGTCTGAAAGTCTGTCTGATTGTTAAGACTGCTGATAGTCTGCTGTAGTGTTTGCTTAGCTCCTACAGTATATCTGATCTCTGCCTATAACTAATTTATACATATTTTGTTTATCATATAGTTTAAATTATTACGTTCTTGTGTAAGTATAAGTTAGGTAGATTAATAAACAAATAAATTCCTTTTATAATTGTACCCGTATGAGGCCGGATAAGTTACTAGTTTGTTCGTAAGAAGAGAGCTATTGAAATATCTTTTAAATAAGAATTTTATATTTTATTTAAACATCCATCTGAAAGAGCGAATCACATTCTGTGCTGTTAAATCATAATCTATTCGCATATATTGCGTTGAAGGTTATATTATTGCGTTTACTCGTATATTTCAAATTATAGGTATAAACATTTTTACATTATTAGAATAATAATAATAAATTCATAGGCAATTTCCTCCCGTAAACAGATTAATTTTATTCATGTTTCTTAAAGCCAATTTACCACTTTGAAGAAGTTGGTTGTTTATACACAACCCAGATCCATATTTTGTTCCAGTAAGTTCCTCTCGAGTATTTCTCATTTCAGACATATGTCAATGCAGCGATGCGTGTTATCCTTATCATATGTTGAATAATACATAACGAGTTTGCATGACAAGTGAGATGTCATCTAATGGCCAAGAACGATTTGAGTAATAATGTTCAACCAACATTAAATTACTTTAGATGATGAATCAATCCCACTGCTTTTTATTTTATGTGTTACGCGATGGTAAATAAACTGGTAATGGTAAGTGGTAGCTACGGCCTACCTGTTAATAAGTGGAAAAGTCGCAAATATACGTAAACAGCATCATGGACAGCGTCATAATGTGTCGCCCATGATACCACTTATTGCCATTTCGGAGTACCAAGATGTCATACCTCCATTTCTATGTCTTAACTCACCCTTCGACCGAAATATGTATGTCTTACAAAGCAAGCTGCATGGCCAGTGGCCATATAGCTTGCTTAATAAGCGTTTCAATTAGGTATTACATAATTTTGATTGACATCAGCTTTTTTATTAAATTACGTTAAAACCTTTAATTTTTATAAGTATTTCGAGCCTATTGTGCTGAATTTCAGGGGGTTTGCAGAGAGGTTACAGTTGAGGTCGACGTGATAAGATTGTTGACAAAAGACTTTATTTGTAACAATATCCTTCACCCCATTAGGTAATTAGGTATAGCTTTCATATATTTTCATTTTTATAAAAGTAGGTAGTTTATCTAATTTTTTTGAACAGAAATTATACTTTTCCATTTTAGATAGTTATCGTAAATATTTATTTATTGCACTTATAATATTGTATAATTAGCAACCTTATTAATAATAGTATATTTTAATATGTAATTATCGTCAGGAATCGCATTCATTGTGTTTGATATGTTCTCGTCTGGTTATTCAGATTTTGTAGTTTTACTGTAATTTTTATAAAGTATATTTGTATTTATGATAAAAAAACGCTTTGATCGTCCTTCCTCTACGTGATGAGATAATATTGATACGTGGAAATGATATGCTAATAGTATAGTACAATAGTCCTTAAAGCGTGAAAAGTTACATAGGTGATTACCTATGAGAAATTTAGTTCTTTGTTAATTATATAGGTAGGTATATCTACTGTTCAGAGTTGCCTACTACTGGCTACTTAGTGTATGTAGATACTTAGTCGTCTACTTCAATATTTTAGATGGCACCGACCCTACAAATGAGAATTGATTATATTAAATGGCCGGCTTACAGTTGGGCTGTCTTTTTAAGATACAAAGTCAACATTTTTAAAATCCGTATAATTTAGATCGGATTTTATTCATTTTCAGATGGAAAAATGATATGTTGGAAAAAATTAAGTCCGCGTGTATCCGGAACTCAAAATAAAAGTGGGTTTGTGATGAACGTTCCACGATCGAGTGTTTTTATCGGTCCAGTGTGAAGACAGGCGAAGAGCAACGGCGCGGTAACTATGCGCGCGGCGGGTCTGCGTCGATACGCGCACCGGCCTGACGTCGCCGCGGGCCGGCGCACTCCGCACCACTTCTGCCCGACGACGGAGCGCCGTCGCGACGCACGTCATCCGCGATACCCTCGCACAACCACCACCGTGATGATATTTTGTACATAGTTAGTGACTGTTCGATACCTACTTGTGATAAAGACAAATCGAAAAGAATAGTGAAACGTTAATAGCATTGGATACGCGTTTGGTGAAAACAAACACATCGCAGTTTCATATTCGCGCAGGCGCTTTTCCGCGGACATGACGAAAGCGGCCATCTTGGTCGAGGACGCACTTTCGCCTCGCCCCAGCTTCTGAGCCTGAATAGAAACCTTGAGATTGATCACCGCGGACAAACCATGCGTCACGGCCAAAGCTTCGCGGCGGGCGACGTCTGAGCCCGCAACGCGCCGCTATCGATCCGGTAGCGTTATGGCGTTCGCGGAGTGAATGCGGACATCGGGACCGTGTCGCAGCCCCCGCAAAAAAGCGGAGCGCCCGGTCAGTGATAGTGCTATAGTGGTCGCACGGTATGTGAGACAGAGTACCGTCGTGGTTGGGAGGGCGCGCGGGCGGCGGCGGGCCCGGCTGACCGCGCGCCATGGGCGAGGAGTACGCGCGCTCTCCTTGCGAGCGCTTTCCGGCGGCGGGCGCGTTCAGCGTGGCCCCGCCGGAGCGGCTCAGCCCGCCGCCGCCCGCGCCGCTGCCGGATCGTTTTTCGGCATCCCCGCGGCGGGTGCGCCGGTGTGCCGAGGCGGAGCGCGCGCGGCGGCCGCGCTACGTGCCACCAGCGGCACACGTACCAGTAGAGCGGTACGTGCCGAGGCCGCCAGCACCATTGCGGCCGCCGCCACCCGTATACTGCGGCTTAGCGTGCCGGCCGCCGGCGCCTCGCAAGTGTTGTGGACCCGCGTGTCGCGAGGATATCGCAGGCTCGCCGCCCCCGACGCGGTACGTGGAGTATGTCGGGGCTGCGGCCGCTCGACGGCTCGCTTGCACACCGCCGCCACCGCCTCCGCCCGCTCTCCAGCTGCCCTGCGAACCACAGGAACCGCCTTGCTGCGTGCAGGCTCGCAGGCGTCCGCAACCGCCGCATGATTGGTAAGTAACTTAATGTTTTGACTAGACAGTGCCAGTCGCAATATAATGTTAATTAATCAAAAATTATAATTTTTGGTTCAAAATGTTTATATTAATTTACGTACAGTAATAATCCGCATCGGCAATGTTTTATACTAAAATATTGGGTACCTAACTAGAAAAACCATTAACACCTCCTTATATCTTGGATGGCTTTCAATTAGGTTTTCCAACAGACTATTTATATTTGTTGTTGATGTATAATGTATACATACAATGAAGAGACGTAGTCATATGTGTACATTTTAAAGTCCCCTTACTATATAGTTAATAACCTTTCACCAAAAATACAGTTTGTTTGTGTTAAACCTGGATAATTAATTGCAAATCAGAATAAAATAAAGAATCGATCGGGATATCTGTTTGTATGTAGATGTACAACTGAGATAGGTACGCGTAACAGCGTTTGAAAGGGTTTTTAACGACTCGCGATGACGCCAGTGGCTGGGTTGCTGTAATTGGTTAATATTTTTTTGGTAAAATTGATATCGTGTGATTGATGACGTCGGCTAACGATCCTCGTTTTACCAAACATCATTCAGATTAAATATTATTAGAAGAAGAAATATTTCTGTTGTGAAATATCACCATGAAAATATTTGTTACCTATATTAGGAAAACATGGAATAATTATTTTTGGATTTTAATTTTAATTTATCGAATAAAGTAATAAATAAATTTGGTTACATATAAAATTAATATTGATATCAAACTGTATTAAAATCTGTTTTTTGTAGCCATTCTTAGTATTTATTCAATATATTTATAAAGTGACGGAGTAAATCTGTTCGTGTTTACAAATGTTACTTACAATTGATTGTATTGTGTTCGTCTACTTCTTACCTTTTCCCTACTAAACGTCTGAATGAATCTTAATGAAATTTGACCTTAAGATAGATATAACAAAAACTGATTTAGGCTATCCTTTATTCTAATAAACAAACAAATTTGTGGCAGCTAGTAGCTAGTAAGTAGTAGATTTGAGTACATAATATAAAAAACTAAAATAAATAAGTTTACATAAGAACAATAATAAGTGATTAACATTGAAGAATGTTATTTTAGAATGTTAAAATATATTCTTTCTAAATCATTATACCAAGAGTAAAGTGTCTAGCTTATTTTTCTGTATATGTATTATTCTTTCTATATGTGAGACGTTTAAACGGATGTAACAAATAAATCTATTTATATTGAGTTAATTTGAATAAAGATTATTTCTATTCTCTCGTATACATATTATGTAGCCATCAGAAAATAATAAAATCACACAATTTTGATCTTATTGGTATGTACACAAAACGTGCAAATTCGATTTCACGGGGCCAGGTAAATGGAGTGTGAGAATGACTGGGACCGTTTTCAAACTAAATTATTGAAGTTTTACCATTAGGATTATAGTTTCAGGGAGGTATATTTTATTTTCAACATATGTCTAGGATGGTACTTACATAATGTGTCATCTGGATCGTATGTGTGTTCGAAAAATAGCGACTAAAAATAACTTGATTCTTAATATATTATAGATATTTTCTAGAGTTCTAATAATTTGATAATAGTAAGTTATAGCTATGTGTAGACAACAACAATGGGATAATAATCATATTTAAGTCTGTAAAACTGACAGTCATGTTCTTCACTGTTACACTATTACTTGTGTATTTCACGAAAAAGAAATATTTAATAAAATATATATTACTTTATAACGAACCGAGATTTAATTATTTACTGATATAAAAATTATGTTGCCCATTCTAGTCTTTCCCATTTTAAATATTATTTTCCTTCATCGTTATATGTCTGTTATTTATTTTCTTGCCACTTGTTTTCCTACCTACTAAGTAACTACCTACCTACCTGTTCCTTATTTAAATTCGTTTTTCTAAGGTTGTCACGAAAATATTGATTTCAACAATATAGCCGTCTTATTGTAATTATATAAATGTAACCTAATATATCTATTATTTGTATGTCTTTTTTTACTATTGTAGTAATATCTATCTATGTACCTATCTATCTATATGTATGCCAAATATCTCGACCATTGTTTTAGCCATTCAAGCAACACGAATTAACAAACAAACAAATTCACTTTATAATATTAGTGCACTTAATTGTTTTTTTATTAGGAAATTAAGAAGTTGTATTCCTCTGATCTGTAAAATTGAATCTTTTCTTGTAGAATACTCGATCAGTCATTACTCATATCATAAGAAACTAACCATTACTCGCGACGTCGTCTATTTTGTTTTGATATACGATAACCTACGTTCGTACTCATGATGGAGCTGTGTTAATTCTCAAAGAAAAGAAAATTAGCTTCACATTAAGTTTCATGTTATTATTTAACTAGCTACTCGCCCCGGCTTCGCACGGGTGTACATGTATTATATACATAAACCTTCCTCCTGAATCACTATAACTATTAAAAATAACGCTTCAACTTCCGTTGCGTTGTTTTAAAAATTTAAGCATAGATAGGGACAGATAGCGACAGCGACTTTGTAATGATTCTACCATTTAGTCGTGAGAAGGTAACAGACATACAGACACGCTTTTGTATTTATGATATAATATAAATATGGATTTTAAGACTAAAATTGTAGTTGTATATATATGACTTTGCATTTCGTTCAATACAGAATTAAATTATTAACATGCCACACACAGATTCCAAAACTGAAACATTCAGGCGAAGCGAGTACTTTGTTTGACTGAAAATTAGTTTTATAATGTGGTCGAATATTTAATAACTATAAATTTATTTCTTATATGAAAAGGCAAATTAAATAGCATAGCTATACCTATATGACGAAAATATATCTAAAAATATTATTTTTATTTTCACTTCGTACCATATTCGCCATAGAATTGAGAATTGTAAGTTTTTTTAGTTGATTTATTCATGAGTATTCAAAATAATATTTTGAGATTCGGGTGAGTGACCGACGTAACGACTCGTATTATTGATCTTGCTTTTATTAAAATATTTAATATTAATATTATTACGTAGGTACCTACTTGTAGATATTTTATTGATAAATATTTTTTCTGCATTGTCATTTGATTTAATTTAATTTTAGTGTATATACTATTCACCTAAATGTATCCACTTAGGTAAAAGGTAATATATTATTTCATCTAAATATAATACATTTATTGATTGCTGATTCTACCGTAGATAATGATAATAACACCGGACAATTCATACAATTCATAAAATTACCCCTAAGGGGATAAATTAACGCGAGCGAAGCCGCGGGCCAAACCTAGTATTATATATAGAAAATACCCAGATCAATATACAAATAATAATATTTACGTATTGTTTATACCGTGCGGGGAATCAAAACCGCGACCATTAGAAGTAAGGCGGTGTGTTAAACCGCTAGACCACCGAAGCCTTCGATTAGTAATAGTTTAAATAGTACCTGTCCTTGCCTATCTGGTTCAAAATTTTTGTAAAAATATTCATCGTAATCTGTTCATAAATATTCTGTAACATACAAAAGTAAAGTCAAATAACACGTTGACTTTAAAGATTATACAATAATATTCTTGAATTGATTGCATGTGATAGATAAAGTATTTATTGATAAGGCATATTAAGTGTTATATATATACATAAAATAATATAGGTTTTGTCAGTTACTATTGGTGAAGATTATTAATTGACATAGGACAATTCAATGTGATCAGTAATACGAAAATTACACCGTTAATTTTCCTAATAAATAAAATAGTTCTCACGATTGAATGAAAGCGGAATAAAAAATGAAGACAATGAAGAAGAAATGCGATAGGTACATATATTGATAGATAGTTCTGTATCAACCTACATAAATAGATATTTCCTTTGATATTTAATTCCTTTAAAAAGTATACTATATATTTGGAAGAGATAAAAACCATCGCTCCTAATAATATCCTTTGATATTTGACTTTGAATAAGGGCGAGCACAATAGATCTATACAGGTTGCAGTGTTACAGGTCTCAGCACCTGGCAATAACCCAAACCCCCCAAGAAAAGAATAAAAGGTTGCCAGTACTGATATTCAATAAATCGATATAGGGGAAACAGTACAGTTATTGGCCCCTTTACAGTTATTAGCCATTTCAACTTTACTGCCAAAAAACTAGCAACATCCCGTACAAATAGTAGATTTGAAATCTGATTAACGGTGACAATTTTATTCTCTGTCTAAAAGTTTCAACAAAATTCCGCTAGATTATTTGGTTCTTTTCCGATGTGTGATTTTTTGCTGGAGGAACAAAACCAGGTGAGTATGTTAAAAAAATATTAAGACTGCATTTATTTTTTTGTGCGAATTTTTGAAATGTGTCTGTAGTCAGTCCGTTATGTAAACTTGATAAAACATAGCCTTTTTATGTGTTATAAACAGATTAAAGTTGTATTGTAACTTATTTTCTTCAATAACCGCAAAATTTTGTTAGCCAATTACTGTCTCGATTAATTGAATAGTACGTAGTAATTGGCCTCCTATGCTAATAGCTGTATTTATTGAAAAAAGTTAAGGTAGCGTTTTTATTAAAGATAACGTCTTCTGTTACACTGTGTAGTATCCTACACAATTTCTACAAATTTTAAACCATTACTCACAGTTAATAGCCTAGGCCAATAACTGTATCGTTCGTAAAACTAGTCTATAGAAAAAGTATGCCAATTACTATATCTTTTTTTTATTTATTTTTGATAAATAACAAAGCTTATAATTAACTCAGCCAGCAGATGTTTCTGTATTTGGACCAATAAAAAAATGTACCGAAATGCAGTACGTAAATTTCAATCAGAAAATGTTGGAGAGGTGGTAGCTCAACATAGCTATTATTTTAAAAACCATTGTTAACGACTTAAAATCTGACACAATTATAAATGGTTTTCGGGCATGTGGCTTGTGTCCCTTTGATGAGAATGCAATAGATTACTCCAAATGTTTAGGTGC